ATTACGAATCCATGCATACTATAGCTTTTAATTTTTTGAATTTTGAAACCAAGAAATTGGATAACTAAAAACTGGCGCTTTTAAGAAAATCCGTGGCGCAATGGCAGATCACACAAAGCTCTTACTGATACTAAGTAATAAACGTCAAACTAATGGCAAATGGAGGCGATTTTGCTTGATTTCATAATTCCATATGGCCATGATTCAGTCTCTAAAGCATTAAAATGCCTTGTATTCGGCCCTAGGAGACCGAAAGTCTCCAGGCAAGTTTTCTATGCGTTAGGTAACGGGTTGCTATACGACTTCTTCGTTAAACAACAAAGGAAAATAGTATGAGCATGGCACACTTGAAATTCCTACTAAATTTAGTAGGTAGTTAAGTTTCCTATTGTGTTTTGGGAAATCGAAAAACCTGTCTCCGGGCTTCATTCAATTACAAAACATATCCTAAAAATTGAATTGGGAATATATCGAGACATATCACTAATTTACCCACGTGAACTGCTCATGCCACGAAAGTACTTCATTTTCTTATTTGGTATTTGGTAATTACTTAATAAAGATAAACTGTAATATACAAAAAACAGTAAGCATTTAAAGAGCGATAGGGGAACTTTGATCGCGCTTCTTTGCATCAATGTCAGATAAAGGTGAAGACTGGGTATTTTAAGCCGGACTGATAAAAGATATTTTGAAATTTCTTAAAAGGTAACTGCAGCGTATTATCGTTTAAATTTAAACTGTTTAAAGGAGAGAAGTAGTTAGTCCCATAAATAAAACTGTGGTAATTATCACAAATTGCCAACACTTTCCGATCATTGTTTTCTTACGTCCGGCCGGCCGGCCATCACGTGGAGGTGCAGTAACGCAGAGGTTTACGTAATAGGTACCGTTGAGTGAGAAATAGAAAAGAGTGCAATTGCGATACATATATTAGGTACCCATCTCACTGTGATGCTTAAACGTCGCTCAAATAACATGAACAGTATAACCGTTGAGTGATTCACTCAACGGTATAACTACTACAACTGTGGAAATCGACTACTTTTTACGAAGTTCCTGAGGTACTGACACATCTCGGTGCCTTTTAACAAGCGTATCCATATGTCGGTGCCTGAATAAGTCTCATCTAAATTAATCAAGTTGCGCCACTTTATATTTCTCACTCAACGGTAATACGTAGGTATATTGTCCGCCTCCAGAGTGGGTGCCACTTCGTGCAATGATACTCCACAGGCGAATTGACCTCTGGAGTCGAGCTAGGCGGAATTAAAAAATTATATTTTCTACCGCTGGAGGTGATCAGAGCTCCGTGTGTCTGTGTGGGTGTGAGGTGCCTCTGCGGTACGAATCTACAACAAAAGAGTGCTAATATTGGGACGCATGATATTTGGACCATGTAAATTGGACAAAAGGACGCATAGTAGTAAATAATAACTTTGCTCCCCGCTTGTTTAAATTAACTTTTTGTTTGGTATTTATAAGCCGTACATTGCTGAAAATTTGCCGACGCACAACAAAAAAGTGTGCAAAGACACCGCACAAGGAATGAAAACAATTGTTTGTACGGCAACAGACCACTTTTATCGAATATTTACCAGGAATTTGCGCACAACTTCCAATTACAAATTTGGACGCCGCGCCGTTACCAAATTTAAATATTAAACAAAATATAAATTTAAAGAAATAATAAAAAGGATTAAAAGTTCAAAACCTTAAAAATCACAAAAAGATTAAAAAAAGTAAAAAAATATTAATGGCGAGGTAATATGTTTACTGCCAGTCCTAGGCCTGGCCTAGAATATGAAGTATCAAGGAAAGTATAGGTACCTATTGCTTTGCGAAACAAACCTTTTTTTTGTCAAAACAATCAATAACTAACAAAAAACCATCGATAATACTCTTTAGTTTCTCGATTTTTTTATTGGGCGAGGCTAACTTCACTGACATGTATTCGGATACCTACTCGTTATTGTTAGAAAGAGCGTGTACATATAATTAAATTTGTTATAGCTATTGTCTCTGTCCACCCGTCCCGTTTTTATTGAAATGTTCAATTTTTCATAAATTTTGGTTTGTTAAGTAGGTATCCCAAAAACATCGCTGCCTTTCATTTTTCGCCATGGCATTTGATAAATTATCCATTTTTTTGTCATAGCTTCGAGAGGAAAATTTTTTATATGAACAACAAACAAGTTGTAAATCAGCATATGCATGATGAAAGCGGATTTTTGGTAATACCGATCAGTATTTTATTAGCGAAGTTTAAAATTATCTATCTCATGAGTAATCTAACTCAAAATAGACTAGAGCCTGCACATCTACACTACATCAGAAACCTTTTAGTAGGTAAACATTTGAAGTCTCTAGCTATTGTAATTGCTGAGATCTCAACCGGCCAGCCATCCAGCCAGACATAACGAATATAATAGCGTATTTTTTGGAAAAAATGCGCTAAAAATATAGCATGGGCCACTTATACAAAACCTTTGGTAACGCAACAGTTCAATTTATGCAAGTGACCTCTACAATCAGTGCAGTGTTAAATTAAAACATCCAAACAAATACAATAATTGTACATTAAACCGTGGCATGTAAAGTACGCAGTTTATTTTACTGGAGTTTCCCTGCACTTAATATCTACATGCTGACGCAAAAATGCAAAAGAACAAGAGAACGTGTATTATCAATTTTCTGTTGCAAATCGCCTCCCACTTTCTTATTAGGTACTATTTTAAAGTATATCTGACCTGTGTCCATTGCAGATTGTTCTATCTAGCGTGTGTTGATCTGTAGATCAGAGTCCACTAAACGTTGTAGGCCATCAAATGTAAACCGCTGTCTATATGATTAACCCAATGTGTATCTAATGGGAATTAAAGAAGTTCCATTGCGGCTGTAAGAAACAGAAATATTATAGTCTTATTTTTTCATTTTAAAAATGTAGGTATTTCATAAATTTGAAAGCTAAGATAATAGTAACTATTTGGTAACAAAAATCGTTCTCTACTTCAGATTATTGGTGATAATAACCCATCCAATACGTATGTCCTTAAGTCCTTCCAATTGGGAGTAAATTGCAATAATCTTTCCTTCACTTTTGAAATAAAATCCGCCCAAAGTGTTTGTTCAAACTTTAATGGCTCTATGAGATTATTACTCGGCTCGCATTGGGAAACGCGTTTTTTTAGTACGGCTCATATTTAATAGTACCATTGAATAAAAACACTATTCAATGATAGTACTGATCTACTTTACTTACTGGTCCTTTTGAACTCGTAGAAATCGATTGGCGAATAAGATTTGACATCGCTGTCTCTCTTCGTTCTTGAATTAGACGAGGAATAGATGGACGGACAGAACCATCACATAAGGCAAATTTCTTTCGAAAAATTGGTTGAGTGTGAGACCGTGCTTATTTATAAAATTATTAAGTCTGTTCAGGAATGCCTTTTCAAATATTTTTGAAAATATGGATATAGTATCGATATATATAGGCTGATCATTTTGTAACTTTCCAGGATCTCCGTTTTTATAAACAGGTAGGTACCTACAGGGTAACCTTAGCGCAGATAAGTTGCGAAGGAAATTTACCATACCTAAGTAAATGATTGATTAATTAGAAGGCAAATCGGGTACCTAAGAAATATACACCGCCACTGGATAGACATCACCACAAGGAATTTGGTCCAAGCCGCAAGAGATTTTTGTGGCCAGTTCACCGATAATTCCTTTTATTTCAGTTATTGAACAAGTTTTTACAGATGTTGTTCACACTGAATTAAATTTCTCGGCAACTTCGTTGATGCTTCTTTCCGTTACTGACCGCTACTTACTATAAATTCCACGCGGCAATGTGTACTATGATTAACTAGCTGATGGTCCCACTACTAAAGTTGGAAGGGCTTGTATCGATCTTCCTAGGCAAAATTTGAACCCTTTTTCGTGAAAATTTGGAGATCCTGTTATGGTGTGAGCACAAAATGTGTATGATATGGAAAAAATTGCCGCAAAATGAATAAAAAATTATGGTACCTATTGGCGTTCTGATAACGGGGAGGATAAGTTTCCTCGTTCTTCGTGAATGTGTAAATCATCTACCTAATACCTACCTTAAACAAAGTATGGTAAATGAGCATTATTAGGACCATACCTCGTTCAGAATAACCGATGCAATAATACAGTTGTAGCGCCATTAGAAATGTTCTAAATTATATTGTAAACTTCAAATTATTATGAGCGATATTTTTTGTTAAGGAAGGAATACAATTCAAATACTTAGATAGTATACCTACATCCGCGTTATCTTCCACCTGAACTCAACAATTTGGACACTGCCATTTTTATGGAGCCAAAGAAATAAAAACTAAAATGCGATCTTATTAGAGTGAAATATCATACGCCGATGTGGTAATCAAGTTTAAAAATTTGGTATTAATTTTTTGGAAATTGATTTATTAGGGGCCTGGCACTTATTTTTATTTAGCGTACCTAATTACCACGTAATCATTAGGTACTTACTTAAAGCGTTTTCTAAGCATTCTCCTTCTAAAAAGTATAGCGCCCTGAACTTTGCTTCATTGTGAAATAAGTACATGCCATATAGGTATGCGTGGTGAAAAACGATTCGGAACGGTTTAGATATGATGCTGATAATTTTAGCTTGATAGCAATGAGTAATAATCAAAAGTTCAATTAGCGGATTTATTCAAGTGATTAATTACTGCGGAAAAAAAAATTTCAACGTGATGAAACATCGAAGAGAATTCGGGATATCGCCATAAGAATCGCGTGCTAACGAAACATAAAGGAGGGGGTATAAATTATGCATTTTACTCCTTTTTTTTTTACTATTGCATACATATTCATTAGTACATTATTATCAATCGGCTGTCTCTAATAACATAAAAATATCATTGAAAGGTTATCGGGCATTTCGTTGCTAACTCGGGATATTTTTAAATAGTGTTGGCAATATCTACTGTAATAAAATCAACTAATGCAGAAAAATAATATTTATTTTCTCTCATTGATACAATGGTTTTAAAGGGTATTAAGAAAAAAACTATTTTTCTTATAGCAAAAATAGTGTTGTATATATGATTATCTAATCTAAGCAACATAAATAAAAAACATTTTTGGTATCTATACTTAAAAGCTATTTGTACAAAGATACCTTTCAGATAATAAATGTTGAAAAATACATAAAAACAGAATCGATCATTGACTCACACAAAATATAAATAATTTCTTACATTATTAAGCTACGATGAAAAATGAGTGAATGGACTTTCAGGCTATGTTTCTCTCTCCTCGTGAGATGAACCTTAATGTACGGGGGCCGCTACAGGCTGAGGAAACTTATCCTGTTGCCTCTGCACAAATCCTAATATGTTTTTGAATGGAAGCTGCATATGGTAATAAGCGCAGTATGGCAAAGGGTCCCACACCGTGAATAAAACCTCTCGCTTGTCCAACACTGTACCAATTAATCTTGTCACTTTTTCGACACTCGGATTTTTTATGGTGTTCGCGACAGTTTCCGGCATCCAATAGCGGCCATTTTCCACCACGAGTGGTCCAGAGTTTTGACGATTAAAATGTTTACAAGGTTTCCAGAGGAGTCTCGGATGTACACTTGTGTAGCAGATGTACGGTAAGGAAATTCCGACTCTACTACTGAGCGGCATAATCGCATTCTTACGAACAACAAAACGGAAACTGATATGTCCCGTAACCGGCCTCAAAAGATTCAGTTTGCTAAAGAAATTGTTTAACCACAAATTGATGTCTTTATTCTCCACCGGTACCAAACCTTTACTGTCTTGATCGAGAAGACACGTAACGTTGGCAATCACCTTGGAGTCTTTGATCGTGGTGCAGGTTAAGTAATGATCTCCGTCGACATCTTGCACGATTAACCACGGACGATGATCGCTGATGTCAACAGGAAGTTTCAAATCGGTTCTGGTAGGGGGTAAAACCATTTTCGTGCGATCTCTCAATCCGTTGGGACCGGCTGTGGTCATCACGTATCTTCCCGTCCGAATTTCCCCCGACTCGTACAACCTCAACACGTCATGTTTAGAAGTGGCAACGTGATAAACTGGAGTTTGCATTCCCAATTTCTCGCATTTTTTGAACACTTCCAATGTATCATCCAACGCCCAGACTTCCTTAATGCCAGGGCAAAAGCAAGTACAACCCAGCAACTCCAAATGAGGCTTAGCAACAGCATCATAATACCCAGAAGTAGTCGAACTGACCGGAATATAATAGGCGACCTTCTCCTTTTCGACGATTTCGCAAAGGGCTCTCACGTAATTTTGCTGATAGTCGCTTCTAGGCTTCGCAATAGTATAAAACTTATTGACAGCAGTTGAAAAGCGAGCCAACGCGAAGAGTCCTTCAACTTCGCACACTACAACTCTAGCACCGGCCGAATAGAAATTTCTGGCTAAATGCAAAGCTTGTATGGTACTACCTCCACTAATTAGTACAGTCCTTTTCTTGCGAGTCCTCTCTGATAGAGGGGTTATTAGTATCGTCATAGACACCTTAAATATCGTTAATGGAAGCTGAATGCATTCCCAAATAAACCACAGCCAAAGATTGAAAGCCCACAAGGGTATTGCGAACAGTATTTGTCGCCAGGCCATCGGAAATATGCCAAATACGATCCCTTGGGCGACGCGAAATAAAAAACACGGATACCAACCAATCACTCTTGCGACAAGTGACGGCGGTTCCTCTTCATGGATACTTTCGACGGGACTTTGGCACCTCGAGTCTCTCTTATCCGATCGTATTATGAACGGCTGATGAACGTTTCCATTGGACACGGTCCTTTTTCCCGAAAATTGGCTCTCCAACGATGAAGAGATGGGCGAAAAAGAGTACGGCGAGCTCGGGCTGTGAAAACCAGAACTGCTGCTGCTGCCACCCCCTGAGTGTACACTTTCACTACTTGGCCACATTCGTGTAAGACTTTCAGTTGCACAAGCAGGCATGTTGCCCTTAACAAGCACAGTTTACAAGTAGATCGCGAATTCACACACCGATATAGCGAAAATCGACGCCTTTAGAGTTAAAATAGTTACAAACTTACTAAAGCGTAGTCTTTTATAATCGCGTAATTTGTACTCTGCCCCGTATTAACGGTATCTTATTCCCCTCCCCATTCGTCTGGATCAAAATAAGCTGCCTATTCATTCTATTGAGGTAGTCTTTATTTGTTTAATTTTTATCTGGAAAAACGCGGACGGCGGTACCGAAATGGAAACAACAATGCACGCGGTGAGTGGTTGGAACGTCGATTAGACACACTTTTAGCATATTCATTTGGGAAAAGTGTTGAATTTTTTTAATGTTTGTCTCGAATGGGATGAGTGGTTCCTTGATAAGAGAAATATCAACCTTTGGAACTTCACAACGTATACGAGACCCGCCTTCTGCACGTAATACATTAACATGTTGTAAACAAATGCTGCTTGAGAGAATCAAAGTCTAATACCTAATAAGAAAAATCATGTTCGACCTTTAACTGTTTTTTGAACTGAGCCACCAGTTTCAGACCAACTACAACCGCGTGTAACATAGCACTGATTTTCTCAGACTTTTCATTGTGCACGGCCAACCCAACTTTTTCGGACGAGTCTGGTGACAGAATTCACATTCGTGCATCCTGACCAAACCCAAGGACCAAACCAAGTAAAAACTTTCAGCAAATGAACCACAGTGCGCCTACAGAATATTGCGAAATTTTCGTAAAGAGTGACAAGGAACATTCTTAAGATGAAATAATTTGTACTAGAACCATTTGTTAACGATATCTAGATAGGTAGTATACGTATTTCAAAGGTGCGAAAGTGTTAGGGGCAGTGAAAGGTATTGTCGACGTACCTACCTACCTACATTTGGGATTTTTTTAAGAAAAGATAAAAAAAAGCGAAAATAATTATGTAGTGGGTTAAAGGCATTTCAACTCCAATCATACAAAAGACGCCGCTTCAAAGAAGTCATTTATTTTAGAATTCACATGACTGTATTTTTTTAAGTATGTCTTACCGTAACGCAAGCTGCATTCACAACCTCCAATTAATGTTTATAATTAATGAGTGAAATTATTTCGTTAACTTTATGCAAAGCAATCATTCGCAATGCCTGAAATTAATATGCGAAATTAGTGTGTAAGCAGTGTCGCCACCTATGTACCGGCGAGGCAATTGGTTAATTGTTTATAAAACAACTTTCAACATAACCTTGTAGCGCAAGCACAAGAGTCAATATTTGTGTCAATAAGTGTCTTTTAACTATAAGTAGCCTAATCCTAAAGTGGCAAGATACTTTTTTCTGTTCGCCACATTCATTGCATATGTAAACAAAATCAAAACAAACAAAACAGGGTTATGTCGGCTGTCATATAAAAGCACGCATGCGTACCTCTGTTCATTTCCGTAAAATTAAGCGACAAAGTTTGCAGTTTGCAAACTTCTGCGTTAAGTATTAATTTCGACGATTAATTTTCTATATTGTGAATGTTACCCTTAAAATACATAGCTTTAAACATTTACGTTAATTTTCGATTGTTAATTGTAGGTATTAATTTTGAGGTTGTGAATGCTACTTTAGAATTGGGTACCGTTGCAAGGCATTCTAAATGTTTAATGATGTAGCGCATTTGATGGGGGAAGAAGGGGTGTCATTTAACATTTTTAGAGGCTCAAATCTGTTTTGGACATTCCTTGATATTATTTTCCATTTTGCTGGTCAGCGGATTTGCGATCAAACACAATGTTGGGATAAAAATTCACAGTTGTTTCGAGAATTATTTAAACCTATACTCGCCATTTTTAAATTACATCAGCGCGCAACGCCTCTAGTGATAATCTGAAACTGAATCGCGCCTGTGTAAAATGGCCCAAAGTTTGTTTTGTGAATGCGACCAAATACTAATAAACGTCAAATGCCAATAACACGGCTAGAGTTGTGGAAAAATGAGTTTCCTTCATATACAGGGTGATTCCTATAGTACCTGCCACCGTTTGGGAGCGTGTAGGTGGTGCGTAGGGGAGTATTTTGATATAGGACACTTGGGGTCGGAAATCTAAAATAAGGGTGCCAGAGCCAAATTTACCTTCTGGAATTTCGCGCCTGTAGGTAGGCAACCCAACCGGCCGGCGGTGCACACGGAGCGATCTCAGGCGGCGATGTGTGGCTGACACTTGATCAGAATTTTGTTTAAACCCACGAAATCCCGTCTGCAACGGCGCGTATCAAGTGAATAAACACTATGGCAATAGTACAAAGCGATCAAAAATGAGTGACCGTCGAGTCACCTTTGGAAATTTTGTTTACAAGGGAAATCGTACTTAACTTGTACTTCCAAAGGCGACTCGACAGTCACTCATTTTTGATCGCCCGATATCATAATAGTTGGCTAGATGTAGGAAGTGCATTGAGAACAACGGTGGCCACGTTGAACACTTGTAAACGTTATTGCTTTTGACTGTCGTTTTCCCTCCTTCCCTCCCATCGCGCTTCCTCGCGCTAACTCGCTCTGCATCGCTCCGCGCGAAACGTCGGTCGGTTGGGTTGCCTACATACAGGCGTGAAATTCCAGAAGATAAATTTGGTTCTGGCGCCCTTATTTTAGATTTCCGACCCCAAGTGTCCTATATCAAAATACTCCCCTAGGCACCCCCTATACGCTCCCAAACGGTGGCAGGTACTATAGGAATCACCCTGTATCTAAATTAGCTATATGGTTTCTTTATTATTATCATGGAAGTCAATGAGGAAAATCTCGTTGATGAAAATGAATAAAACCAAAATTGTTACATTTTGGTACATTTATTTTATTATTTATTATGTATGGTGGAAATGTGAAATTTAAATTCACCGCCATATTTATTGTGGAGACGTTTAGGTTTAGCGCCCAAGATGCAAAAATTTGATTTTTGCAAAAGTTTAATACTAAATTAGTGCCTTTATTTATTAAATGTAATAGCAACTTATCTAGTTGACTGTGTAATACAAATGAAAGTATTATGCAGTTCAGCATATAATAGCTAACAGCTTGCCAGTGATGCTTGTATTATTAAATGAAAAATAATCAAATGTATATTAAGAGGTAAGAGTATTCACTTATTTTACTTACCCATCTTATTAAATAACAATTTAAGCACAAATTAGGTGTGGAACACCATCATCAGTATTTGGAGGTTACTAGGTTAGGCACCATACAAACAAATCATTGGTTGCTGCAGGATACCTTCAAGATTCAAATATGAACCTCCCAATAGCAGGTATCATGCAGTTCCAGAGCTTTACCAGGTTATTGCACAGGCTGTGTGAAGAACCGGATGTGCCAGAAGAAACAATAACGGAACTTATTCACTTATTTCCTTCCATTACCAAGGATTTGAGGGTGCAAGGGTTGCGTTACATTTTTATTGCTGTGGCTAAATGTTCTGCAGCTTGCTGTAATAGTACAGGGTTTGTTCACGTGTTTTGTTATTCAAATACGATGCTAAAATGATCATTTCTAGAGCCGACCAAAGAAAAAAGTGTTTACTTGTTGATCTAGTAAAGGTTGCCTGTGAATGTACTCCAATATCTTCTTTGAAGCTGTTCTTTGAATTTTATATTTTTCTTTTGACTGACATTTATGACTCTACGAGGCAACTGGATTATGGTAAATTTTAATTATAAATGTGGTTTGGACTTGAGCTAGGGTTTCCTCAAAAGCAGTACCGTCTTTTAACGGTCGTCAAAGTACAATGGATGGCTTCACAAAAAACGGTGCCTCGTATGATAAGCAGACTGATTTCCAACTGACCGTTAACACACACTGTAACATAACGGGCGATCAAAAATGAGTTGCTGTCGTGTCGCCTTTGGAAGTTTAAGTTAAGTACGATTTCCCATGTAAACAAAAATTCCAAAGGTTACTCGATAGCAACTCATTTTTGATCGCATGGTATTAAAATGGTGTTCTCTTAATTGAAGCGGTGAGCCAGTACGTTTTATTCCGTGATTATACACTGACACTATACTGTCAGATTTTACGTCTATTTTCTACTGCTTCGGCCGCCGCGCTTTTCTTGCCACTTTTGTGTCCTCACTCATCGTATTACGGCCACTGCACCGCGTTTGAGGAAACTGTACTTTTTATACCCTTAGGCCATATAGTACCAACATGGACTGCTAATTGCAACCAAAATATGGTCAAGGATATCGCCTGTGTATATAAGTTTCAGGGTAAACGAGTCTGTTCGAAGTTGTCCAATGAGACACAATTTGAGACTGCCTGTCAACCTCTAAATTAACAAACGTCAATTTATCACTTATAACTCTCTCCAGGAAAGATTGCCGGTCACAGCACACCTTGTGTCGATTGACAATCTTTGTTTTTATTAAGATGTGAGCGACTTCTGGAATAGGATCGTGCCAATGTTGAACAAAAAATCTTTGCGTTCAACATTGACACGATACTATCCCGGAAGTCGCTAGCACCTTACGAAAAACAGAGATTGTAGATCTGGATCAAGTGTTCTGTGACCGGCAATCTTTCCTAGCGAGAGTTATAGAGAATAGATTCTAAATATGACAAAAAAGCTAACCTATTTTTATTTGTGAACGTATACTTAAAAGGTAATGACGCATATTGAAAGCTTCCCGTACTACGCGTTTGCTATAGTCGCTGCTTTTTACCATAGGCATATGAGATTAATACTCTTGTGTCTATGCTCTTTACGCGATCCGAGTGGTGTAGAAAGGTTATGGAATCAGATATTCTTTCACTGCGATCTGAAACAATGTGGTGATGTGCGGAATTCTGTGCTCACAGTTTCTCAAAAAAACCATTGCAGTTGCAAACTTCAACATTAGTATTTACAAGTTATATTATTTGATCTAGGTTTGAAAAGACTCTTAATAGAAATCCAGTGACTGGGAGGGGGGTTTGTTTGAAGCCATTTTTGGTTTTTCGCAAATATCACTAAAACAGTTCAATACTTATTTGTAACATTTCCCACATAATAATTATTTTTATAAATCAAGTATTTAATTACTTACCACCTTCTTGATATACAATGTCTTAAGTGTGTACGTGACAAGGGACCACATAGCAGAGACTTCTATTGGTTTTTACGTTTTATTGCAGTTGCAAATATACACGAGGAGTATAAATTATCAATTATGACTGCTGTAGTAGCTCTGACGCAGTCTCTCACATACGAAACAAGAATGGATCTGTATACTGTTGAAAATGCATTTCATCTTAGCAGAATGATATATGTTGCACTGAGTATGGCACAGAAAGAAAAACTTCAAAGTTTGAGGTATGTCTCTAGTCACTCAAGTAGCCTAATCGTAATCTGATCCTTAGATTATCATCTATTGAGTGTGTAATGTCGCTAGCTCAAATTTACAACGATACACTGATCGAAGACAGGCTACTACGAAAGCGAGTAGCTGGTACATTCATTCTTTTTACCCCCGGAATAATAAGCGGTTTCAGTTCAATCGTGAGGGACGACGGCAGATGTGGACATAAAGTTATTCTTGTAATGAGAATGTAATTTTCCTATACCGGAACCGTTGAGATTTGTAACTTTCAGATGGCCTTTAGAGCGCTTGGTAGATTTATCGCTCTTCAAATGGAAAATTATGATAATATCGATGTTGGTACGGCGAATTTTGAACCTCCCCAATCTTCAGAAACTCCACAGTTGAATCCAACTGCAAGTCGAGAGAATATAATCGGCAATTTAAAAAGTAAAAGGATTGATGCAGCGTGGTATCGTGCTACGGATGAAAAGTTGTGCCAGATATTTCGCACAATTTCCAAAGTAACTTTTCATTACCACCAACAAGTTCGATTAGAAGTGGCACAAAATCTTTTAGTGTTGATCGAACGCTGTTCAGAGTAAGTCTCTCTCAATTTTCTTTCATTTCACATATCATTTTTAGCACAATGTCCAACTTTGCAAGTAAAGCATTAGAGGCGATAATCAAACTTTCGGAAGATGAAGATGACCAAATTGCAAACCTATGTAAAAATGGACTGAGACAGTTTCAGGAGAACTTGCCTGCGGCTAAACAAAAAGATCTATTGGAGGGTTTAGAGGAAGCATTTTTCATATCATTGATGACACTACCTCGGGTTTTTAACAGCTTTGGTAATCTCTTTCTTTAAGTTTACTTTTTTTAATCATCGTTTTGTAGATGAAGCGCAACAGTTATCATCTTTAAACTTACTTGTAGGATATTTACAATTGTTCGGTTCAAATATGCCACAAGTACTAAGATCTGTTGCTCATTCGCATAGACTAATTGACAGTTTGACCCATATTTCAGAATTCGAAAGAAGAGATATTCGGTTATTTGAGGAATATGCAGTAGAAGGTGAACGAGTTGTCTAAAAATTCATTGTCAGACCTACTTGTTTTTCTTAGATATCGAATCGAGGGAGTATTTGAGAGCTCCTTGGAAAAATTTCCGTTATATTAACGGTGAAGCTGTTCGAAAAAAATTGGAAGTTGTTCATCAAACTTTGGCCAAATTTGACGTGAATGACCAAATTTCGTATCTTTTGTTAGATATATTTGTATCGTCAAAGGATAGACGACGAGAAGTGACCTATATTTTAAATAATATGCTGTCTGGAATACATGGTAGGTGATTATATCTTTCAGCTCCCACTCCATAATCTTAATACATACCATTAGTTGCTTGTTACACTTATCCTAAGGCTAATTGACTCCAAAAATTTTCACTTCTCAGCTTGAGACTTGTTCACAAATAAATAGGATGGTAGGTGCTGGACGTGAACCAAAAACGTTTCTAATTAAAAGTGGTATCAAAGAATAACAATTTCCCATTATAGAATAAAGTGAAATAAAAAAGGAAATTCACAGCGCAATGTGCAAAATGAAGTTGGTACCGGGGAGGAGTGAAGTCCTCTGGGGGGGGGGGGGGGGGTGTTTCTCCCAAAAAATTATATCTAAAATTCACAAGCAAAGATTAAAGTTAATCATGAATAAAAATATTAGAATGAGAAAGATCTTACCTTATACTCAAAGGAGGCTAACATTCAAATATTTTTAATCATGATTAACCTTAAACAGACTACTACATTTAACATATTTTTGTTACTATTTTAATTTACTTATCATGAAATTGACTTAAATCATTAATCTTTTGTTAGTTGAACATTCTACAAGATATTTTCACCCCATCAAGCTCAAAGATCTAATATTGAATAACTTTTTTTTTTAAGTAATTGCAAAAATCTGATCTACAATTTTGTGAAGTATGCGTACAGCAAACTTTAGTGAAATTTTCACCGGATGAATATTCCAAAATCGAACATAGGCAATTGATTGCTATCATTAATAATAATAATAATATATTGCGTTTCTGCGTGGTTACACTTACACTCGTCAATTATAAACGCATATTCGTCATTCATTATAAACCCTAGTTAACATGGGGAGCAACATTTGGCAGAAACACTTTCCCATATGTTAATTGGCTTTGCTCGGTTTTGGAATATTCACCCCTTAATATATATATAAAGCTACTAAATTTAATTTTCTTTGAAATCATAAATCATTGGATATACAGTCAGGATCAAAATCCCTCAACTTTGGCGCAGATAAACGTACCAGCCCTTTAAGGCCAATTCATACTATAGCTCAGGTGACGCTCCGCTCAAAATGTTGTAACATGCTATTTCAATTGGAATATTCACATTTGACGGTCAGAACATGTTCATAGAAATACACGCTACAATAATTGACAGGACCGTGATCTGACCAATAAAGTAAATTGGCCTTTATTGATTTATCTTCTTTTTTGATGATTTAGAAATAAATCTGAAAAGTCAGCGTTGAACTGATTACCTCTATACTATATATTTGAGATATCTTAAGAACTTTTAACCCTGACTGTACGTACCACCTTCGTTTGTGCGGCATCTCTCATCGAGATTGGAGTATTGTAGCTTAGAAGGTTCTTTTTTTTTTTATTAAACTAAGATAATGTCCTCTCAATTCAGATGAAAAAGTTTTGGAGCACTTAACTTTGCTTGAAAATGTGACAAAATTATATTTGGAGCCGGAGTATTGGAAGTTGCCGACCGAAGTGAGTTACAGGTGCCAACTGGCCCAAGTCCAGTATAATATTATTCAAATCTGTTTACAACTGGAAGGAATTGGTAAAATTGCGGCAAAGTTGGGGAAACAATTTCAACATCTTTTATTGCATACGTTATCTCCAATTTTGGAAAGAGCAGGTATGTGTATGTAAACGATACGATGAGTGGTTTAAACCAAATTTATGGTAGGATCAACAAACCCCGTCATTAAATTGGCGGGCACTGCTGCACTGGCAGAGATAGCAAAGGCGTGTGGTTACGAAACTGTCACACACTTAATTCGAGACAACGATGATTATTTCAGCTTCCACATAAGTAACAAAATACGCAAGACTGACGAAAGTGTCGCCACCATCAGTATTCTAACTACTGTTCTAAGATACAGCGATGTTTCCAATATGATTAGTATCACAGCTGTTATCACAGATGTAAGCTGGCTGTGAATGTAATTTAAATGTAATTTAAATTTCCCAATCTGTAGGTTTTGTCTCAAACTTACGATAAATATTTTCAAGAAGATTTCGCCAATGTTTATTTACATTTGTTTCAAATGTATATCAAAGTGTTACTTCGATGGTATTCAATTGAAGTGGAGATTCTTCCTATAAAATCGAAACAAGAGTTGACCGACCAATATCTCGAATTTCAAGTGTCTGGTCTACAATTAACTCATGAACCTAAAGGAAAAACAGCCGAAGAAATGTATAGGGAAGATCTCAATAGTTACAGATCGAAAAAAGATTTAAAGGAGGATGAACCAGAATTATCAGGTATAAATCTCATTCATATTCTGAGAGGCAATAAGTAGGATGATTTCTAATGATGCTCTGTTGGATTTGATATAGAAATTGTTGATAAAACGAAGCGTCCCTTCCACATAGTACTAATAATAAATTTGCTGACTCGAATTCTAAACTTTTTACCATCGAAAGATAAGTCTCGAAAACTCCTAGTCTTGGATATCTTAATTGATGGTTTGGAAGTGCTAGGTGAGTGGGAAAACGATCTTCTACCATTAGTGCATAAAGTTTGGGAACCGCTTATTGGGAGATTTAAAGAGACTGACGAGTACTTGATTATTCATCGCAGCTATCAGCTTTTAGTTACTCTAGCACGCTTATCTAAAGATTTTATCCGTTCCAGGACAACCAAGTAAGACTGCGTTTAACTGATTCAGTTCAAGCAATGTTTTTTTTAGAGATGTTCTACCAGATATATTGAAAATTTTAAAAGGACTTTCAGAACATAGTTATTTGAAGGATCATGGCGCTGCGTATAGATATACACAGGCGTATAAATTACAATTGACAATGCTACAGCATTTAGGCAGGCTTGTAATCGACATTGACATGGTTGACACTCATATTACGACTGTTATGCAGACAGTTGTATGTTATCTCAGTGTTAAGCAGCCCATTCCTTTACAGGTAATACTTTTGGTTAGTAAATGCAATTAAATCCCTGGTGCATGTCATCATACAAGCTTTAGTTATTTGGTGCGTGGCGTCATAAATTATGGTTTAAGTTCAGCCATTGGGTTTTAACACTTACGTGTAAGTGAATGTGTCATGTGTTAAAAAATTACCACAGTGTGAAAGTGTCATTGTAATTTTGCGTTCCGTGATTTGTTATTAATTTGTGCCAGCCCACTTGACCTGATGGTCCGGAAGCTTAATTGATGTGGTACTAAGGGCCCTTGGTTCGAATCTGGATTTTGTACATGGATATTTTGTACTTCGTATAGTGGGTCGGGTTAGTAGAACAGGCTGAAATTCCGCCCACTCAAAAGTACAAGATCAAATAAATTAATTCGTTAATAAACTATTAGTTATTTGCGTTAACATATTTTTTTTGGTAGCATACAAAAACATCTCGCAAAAAAATTGACATTTTCGGAGTAACAGTAGATCAATTTTTATGTGCTTTGCTGAACAATTCTTGCAAAATATTTTTTAAACAATTTTCTTAAGCCCATTTTACATGCTGAAAGTTATTTAACGAAAGTTGAAATTTTTTAAAGTGGAGATGTTCTTCACATGCTGCAATTGTACCTATTTCACTTTTCACTTGCAAGTGAAATATAGGTTAGATTGACGCCTTTTGTAACTTGTTTCTCTTTTATTTCTGTGCAGTTGTAATTTTCGCTCAGTAATATGCCTCTACGCCCGTCAACACAAATGACCGTCAAAATGGCACAAAATAACGTTGATTTTAAATTTCCAATGTTAGAGTTAGCAGCCTTAAAATTCCAGCGTCCGAACCGAAAAGTTTAGATTATTTCACTTTGAAGAAAAGCACCTATTGCGCATGCACACAAAAAAGTGAAAATCTCTCATTAATTACCATTTCAATTAAAAGTAATCGATGCTACTTTTCCAGTTTATAAATGTTAAAATATTACCTCATTTTATTTATTGTTTGTAAATGAATGTCCAAAATTTGAACATGCATCAGGAATGTTATTGTACCTACCATGCATACAGATCGTATTAACTATTATCTTTACAGAAAGCAACTGTCGGATGCTTTTGTGACCTGATGATTTATGACAGACCTTTAGTTATACAAATGTTGCAACATTTTTTATTAGAAGAAACTGGAGAACATTTGCAAGAGTTTAGAAAAAATGTTGAATACATTCTACAAGGTGGTGCCATCAATTCCAATATTTAAATTTTTATTTTCGTACACCCCAGGCATTATTTTTGAATTTTATTTCAGGAGTAAAGAAAGTTAAATTGTTTCTTAACTTTGAATTACATGTAACAGTTTATTTATTTTCACTATTAACATGATGTATACAGTGGGCGAAAATTATTTGGAATTGTTTTTCGCCTTAAGTAACTTTTAGTTTTGGTCAACCAAACAGATTTAATAAGTATCCGTCAAATTTTACTAAATTTTGAATTTAAATATATTATAAGTGCCCGTAAAATCATACTAACAATTTTTGAGCATCTGGAGAAAAACGGAAGTAATTCTGAAAAGACTATCTATAGATATTATTTTTATAAGAATTTATTTTTTAATTCAAAATATAAAGTTTTTTAACCAATTAAAACAACCTCAAAACCATGGTTATTTACTACAGTCTGCAGTCTTTGGCCCCATTGTCAAATTGATTGGTTAATAATTTCTTGATTCCAACAAAAACTCAAAAGTGTGATGTTTTAAATAATTTACAGTGTTGAAAATAACTTTTCATGAACCATGGCTTCTAATGTACTCCAAATGTTGTAATCAATGTGGTTAAGATCAGTCCTTTTAATGGAAATTTCCTCGTTTTTTGTACTTCTGAGGTCCTCTCGGAGGTCTAACATTTGATTTGGCTTCCCCTAATTTCATACACCTTTATTACTCCCCCCGTATAGGCAATGTTCTGTAAAAGGATACTGATTACAGTTTTGATATTGTTTGTTTGCTCTAGTAAGATTTTGGGCCTGTTTTTATGTATTTTAAACTAAGTTCATAACATGTCTATGTAGTTTCTCGATGGGTTCATCGTCGTTACAGCGACATTGGAGTAAGTGTCCTGCAAAATGTCAGTTTGGTCATTACGCTTTTTTTTGTATTTTCTATTTCATTGTCAATTTTTGATTGTTTCATACTTTCTGCAATTATTCAATTTTTTGCTAAATCATACTGATTGCAGTTTTTACATTATTTATTTGCTATAATAACATTTTTGATTTGTTTTTATTTATTTTGCACCTAGTGTTGAAACCCAGGTCAATAACGTGTTTATGTAATTTCCTGTATTTGCAAGAATACATTTCAAATTTCGTCGAACCCAACATGTAACCTAATAGTCCAGATCATAACCTCATTGATTACAGTATTTGGAGTACATTAGAAGCCATCGTTCATGAAAACACGATCGATTGAAATTGAAACATTGGCTAAGTAGTATTGAGTAACCGATCAATTGGACTGTGGTGTTGAAGACTGCAAACTGTAGTAATCATCCATAAAATTTGCATTAGTTGAACAAAATTTTTATCTTTTAATCACAATAATATATACGCCCTTTCAGAATAATTTTTCATTTTGCTCCAAACGCTTAAAAATGTTAAGGGTAGTTTTTTGGACACTTATTAATAGTTTTTCACCTTTTTGAGTTTAAATATTAAAAGTGTAATTTCTGCAATGACATCTTAAAAGCAAGCCTTTCTAAAACTACCCTCAGATCTACCTTAAGTTTTTCACCTTAAATATGCTCTATCAATATAGGTTTCAAATTTCATCATCATCAAAATAAAAGTTATTTAAGGGCAAAAGGGGCCCAAATAAATTTGCATACTGTGTACAGTGCAAATTAGTTAATCACTGAAGTAGCTTAACGAAAAATAAAAATTATATACAACTGTGATACTAAAGTTTCGACTATTTATTATACATTCAAGTTATAGTTTATGTAATTGTGTGTTCTAAAGGTAACAATATGATCGTAACATGTATGTATTCATTTGCGCCAACTCTGTGTGTGTGTGCATTTTTTTTTTGAATATTTTATGGCATCCTTGGCGTTTTATTTATACATATAGGTGAATTCATTTTGTAGGTAAACATACCAACATCGAAATAAAGATATTTGTAATAAAATTTAATCAGTAATGGTGTAATTGTGAATTAATTACCATTAATCTTTTATTTACTATAGTTTTGCTTTTTTGAAGTACAGTCACAAGAATTTATTGTAAATATATCTGCTGTTGCAGTTTAGTTCACACAATTTAATTTAAGAATTACTAAAAGTTACGTATATCTATTTGTTATCGTTTTGTACTAGTTCACTTTTCTTTGTATTTACTTTGAGGATCGTGTTGCCATGTATTTAGGCTGTGAACTAATCTATTATTCCTGTACAAATTAAAAACTTAAGTAAATTTATCCTAGTGCTCCAGGTTCATGAGATACAAGGCATCTACAAGGAAATGTATAGGTTTCTCAGGTATACTTAATTGTAAGATGTATGGTATCTATTTTTCATTTTACATAATTAACTATTATGCCAATCCGATTGCACTTCCACACTCTACATCTTATGCTAAAATGAAATCTTGTGGAACTGGTATGCAATTGCATTCAGTATAATGGTCATTGTGGTGTGCACCTCACCACCAATTTAAATTTATTTGGGCGTACTAATACCAGTTAGTACATATTGATACAAAATATTGACTTCCAGTTCAATGCACGTCAGTTTAAAACTGTGATTGCTTGCCATGGTCTGTTTCATTCTACTAGTTCCAATATGAACTCCATCAGTTGTAAATAAAATCATCTAAGCAATTAGGAGATTTATGTTGGCTCAATAACTATTATAATAATTTAGTTTTAATTGTTTTGTATTTTGCATTATACACTTATTAAACAAAAAGACTGTTACCATATAATAAAGAGATTACTTTCTTACTAGCAAAGATTTGATTTCCTCAACAAAACAAATGTAAACAAAAAAGAAGTTTAATAATCTTGAATGTGTATTTAAATCAATTGCGCGGTTATTGTTCAATATATCATGAAATGTGTGCCTGATGCCATCAATTACGTATCGCACTATATTTTTAAATTTCGGCATGAGTGTTGGGAATTTGTATCCAGTTTTATTTATGCCTGTATATAATACTATAAACATTTAGGGATTTGTGCATTTCGCTGTCAAAGGAGTAAACCACGAAACTCGAAAATTAAACATTTTGCTCCTGTATTATAGCCTATTCCTTTGCGTCATACCGTTTTTGGAATGCCAAAGGACAGGGCGGGTAAACAGACGGCCCTTTCTAGTCTATAACTTTTGATTGAGAAGTCTGATCGAAAAAGTACGAATTGTTTTGGATTCTACGCACCAAAATTAATAAGAAAGTTTTTTCCCGATAAATTTTGCAAAAATAAATGTTTTCTGTTCATTGAGCATGATGTGTTGCCTACAAACCAGGCTACACAAATATCGAGTGCCCATATTCAAATTAGGGATTTGCTTGAATCTCCCCAATCTGCCGTTTTTATTGAGGGTAAGGAGGGCCTCCACGAACGAATGGCCCAGGGCCCCGAAAAACTTAAAAACGGCACTGCATTTAAGGAATAATAAGTGCAACGTTGCTATTAATCCCATAAATTCAAATACAATTTTAAAAGAAGGTGCGTACGTGGTGACATCTCAACTAGACTTCTAAAACTATAATTGATAGAAAGTGTATCGATTGCCATGGAGATGGCGCACTAGTACTTATTGTATTTAATCTATCTATTCAACACCGGGCCTTTAAACTACAATTGCTCTACAGATCTTGCAAGACTCCGTACATTTTGAACTGCCATTTATTCAGACTTCTCAATCAAAAGTTATTGACTAGAAACCAATTTCGAAAAAAAATTCAAAGGGCTGTAACTTTTGAACTAGTAGCCCAATCTTGGAACTGTTTGAAATTATGGATTCTACAGGCCACGTTCTATAAGAAAAATTTTTTCCCAGGACGATCTCAGACAATTTTTTTTTCGAGGCAAAAAAAAGGCAGTGTATAACCTTCCTTTTTTCCAAAAATCGACTGCACCAAAATTTCTCGGGAAAACACCTTTTCTTATTAATTTTGGTGTGTAGAATCCAAAACAATTCGTACTTTTTCGATCAGACTTCTCAATCAAAAGTTATTGACTAGAAACCAATTTCGAAAGAAAATTCAAAGTGCTGTAACTTTTGAAATAGTAGCCAAATTTTGGAACTGTTTGAAATTATGGATTCTACAGGCCACATTCTATAAGAAAAATGTTTTCCCAGGACGAACTGAGACAATTTTTTTTCGAGGCAAAAGAAAATTTTTTCCAAAAATTGACTGCACCAAAATTTCTCGGGAAAACACTTTTTCTTATTAATTTTGGTGCGGTGAATTCAAAACAATTCGTACTTTTTCAATCAGACTTCAATAAAAAAATTCAAAGTGCTGTAACTTTTGAAATAGTAGCCAAATTTTGGAACTGTTTGAAATTATGGATTCTACAGGCCACATTCTATAAGAAAAATTTTTTTCCGGGTTGATCTGAGACAATTTTTTTTTCCAGGGTCTTAAATGGCGCCACCGACGCTTTTTAGTTCGTCGAGATTCCCCAGGAGCTTAAATGGCGCCACCGTCGCTCTTTAGTTCATCGAGATTTCACGAGGGTCTTACATGGCGCCACCGTCGCTTTTTAGTTCATCGAGATTTCACCAGGGTCTAACTGGCGCCATCGTCGCTTTTTAGTTCATCGAGATTTCACTAGGGGCTTAAATGGCGCCACCGTTGCTTTTTAGTTCATAGAGATTTCACCAGGAGCTTAAATGGCGCCACCAAAATTTGCGGTAGAGGGCCTAAATTTTCCACAATGTTAATTAAAAGTTCACCTCATTTTCTGGAAATCTGGTGTTATTTTACGTATATTTTGTCATTCTTAAGTTGGCGAAGCTGAAAAATTTTTTCTATCAATTTCATGTTCGTACCGCCATTGAATCGCTTATTAGCGTCACGTAACGTAACCGTCTGCGAGGTTAAATGTACATTACGAATATGTTTATTCATTATAATCAGCGACTTGTGATTAAAAGTGTCTGATTATAATAGCTCGTTATGAAAACAACAACCTAACCTACATTTTAATTAAAAACAAATTGCAACTTTGACGTTTCTTTTGCATGCGTAGATTGTACGGTACGGAGATTTAGGCGTTTTAGCTTAACGTCGTCAATAACAAGATGTGTCTAGTAAGGAAATAGTAATTATGTCTCAAAGTATTGGAAAAGAAAGTGTTTCACCACATATAAACGATATTAGAAGTACAGTTGATCAAAACGCCCTTTTAAAAGAAACCTTGCACAAGTTAGACACCGAAAATGAGGCGCTGTTAAAATTATACGCGACTCTAGAAAAACGCCATAAACAAAAAATTAAAAAACGAGACGCTTTAAAACGAAAACTTTACGATCTTCCTAAACATAGTACAACAAAGGAACAGGGCAATTTATTAACTCAAGTTTTTTCCGAATCTCAGATCAATGTTTTACTGAATAAGGAAAAGGTGTACTGGAGTCACGATGATATGGCTATGGCGTTTACACTACGGCAAATGGCCAACAGAGAAACTTATCTCTACTTGAAGAAAATGTTGAATGTACCGCTACCTTCGCTTAGCAGTGTGCAGAAGTGGGCCGCATCAAAATAATTTGTTAAATTAGGATAATTTAAACAAATGTGCAATTTTAAAACATGAACTCTTGTGTTGTGTATGGTTGTACAAGTAACACATCAACTGCCGATTCCAGGGTTCAGTATTACTATTTTCCGAAACATCCTTTAGTTGCCCAGCAATGGTTAGCAGCATGCTGGCAACCTGAACCAATCGACATTGCAAATGGTAACTTTTTTTATACTTAATCAACTTTTTATTCGATAATTTCATTGTAGCTCAAATATGTTCAATACATTTTGATAGCTCATGCTTTTCAACTGAATATAAAATGGACTACTTGGGAAATTATACGAAAGTCTTAAAATTCGATGCCATTCCTAACCTTTACCTTCCAAACACGCAACAATCAATTATACTAAAAACAGCAGATGATCCAGTTTCCACCGATAGGATAAATTCTGGAGACATTAAGGATATAATGGTATTCGAACTTCAAACAGTTCCTTTGCCGGTCAACAACTTTGTCACATTGACTACAAATCAAATTGCAGACGGTTGCAGCACCAGTCAAGTCTTGGCAGATAACGAAAAGTATAAACACGTCACTAATAAAACTCAACTGGAACATATTAAAAATGCAAACCTAATTCTAAAAAGAAACTGCGAAGAATACCAAATGGTTATAAATCAACTAAAAGAAAAAATTAATAGAAGGCGCGAAGAAGTGAAATTGGTAAATGAAGAAATTAGAAAAATCTCACGTCATCTTGATGCCGCTCGCATAAATAATTTGTCCGTAGCAGAACAAAGAAATATTCTGTCCAAAGTGTTCTCAGAGTCTCAAATAAAAATCTTGTCGGGCAAGAAAAAGATATATTGGAGCAATGACGATATGGCCATGGGTTATACCATACGTCAAATAAGTAATAAGAGGTGCTACTTTTACCTGTCGAAAAAATTAAATTTTCCGTTACCCGCTTTGTCGAGTATTAAACGATGGTCTACTTTGAAAAAAAGTGAATTGAATGGAAATTTAAAAAAAGAAGAGTCGAAGTTTATTGAAGATGTGGAATAATACGTAATTTTATATTCTGCAGAAATGCCTAATATACTATATACTTAACTGTATTTTAATTTATAAAACGTAGTACTATTTCAATACTATAAGGGTCATTTGAATGAGCTGTAACAAGTAGAATTATATGTATGGGCAATTTTTACAAATAAAACTACTTTAAATTTCTATTCAATTTGATGGTTGGACTCTAGTGCTAAATCTTCCAAGGTTCGAAATAGTCTATTATGTTTTATGTTAGGCACAAGCGGAGCGACTGTTTAGAGAAGTTTGAGTAACGTGTTACATACTATACTTTTTCTGCGAATTGTCTTTATGCCGTTTTTTAGTTAAACCATTGAATAAGCAAGCATACATAGCTGGGAAAAAATAACTTGCTTCCGATCGCACTGTCGAGACTTGAAAATTCAAAATAGATCTGAATTTGTGAGAAAATTTCCCCGGAGGTCTCGTATACCTTTTGACTAGCAAGTTGCTTTCGCGATAAATGTCGCAAGTTGACTTACCATGGTTTCTGTAGCTGGACAGTATTATCAGACAGCAACTTCCCTTAAGAGCGTTTTTAATTGCCAAAAACACCCAAATCGGCACCAATATGTTGCTAATTAGTCGTATTTAAGATGATGCTTCGCACACTATATATATATATATATATATATGACATTTTATGCTACGTTTACACGCTTGCGTTCAAAGCGACATTCAATGAGCAAAAGCATGTAAATGGGTTGCTCGTCTGCTTTTGCCTGTGCTGGTCACCAATCCGGACTAGTGTCGGTTTTTCGACACAGTTCAAAGGGTGAATCTGTTTGCGCTCGTGTACCTGTTTACATGCGTGCGATTTCTATAAATTTTTATCTTCCACCACCTTCTCTGAGCTCTTCGTCGTTGTTGTTTTGTCCAATAAAAGTAGGTATGTCAAACCGAAGGGAACAGCTGCAATAACATCTACGTCCGCCATGTTTGGTTGTGAGCTTGTTCTGAGTTGTGCTCAGATGCGTGTGAACAGCTTGCTTTGCACGCGGGGATTCGCCAAGCAGCTTGCCGCGCGTGTAAATGTAGCACTAGAGGTGATGGTACACAAACATTTTTAAGATCAAGTGGTTTTTAAAGGTTCTGAAAGTCTCTTGGATTTTTGAAGGCTCACAAAGATTAATAAATACAGTCAAATGCAGGATCATTAAAGATAGGTACTTCAGTGGTTTTGAAGACTCACAGGTTCTCAAACACGCGAAATTTGGACTTTCACAGAACTTTTAAAGGTCTTCCACAGGATCCATTTAAAAGGGTCAAGATATAATCCTCAAGGTTTCTTGAAACCTTATAAATAGGCTATTATGGATTTTTAGACCTTTAAATGTTTTGTTATCAACTCTCAGTAGCTACTTTTAAATCCCCTAAGTTTTAAAGGCTCTTCACAATTTCAAATATTACTAAAATCTATAGATTGTAGTGCAATTTTAAAATTTAGCAACCGACTTTGATCACAACCTCAGAGCAAATGAAGGGTTGCACTTACACTACAATGCCTGTTGCATTTGCATCCATTTCGTGTGCTTTTTATCTAAGGAAAGATTCTGCAATTGTTTCCCTTAGAACAGTAATTTTCTCAGCAATACCATGTAGAAAGCACCAGTACTTAGATGAGTGATCGCTTGGGAACACCTCTTTCTTTTGTCTTAATACATTTCATATTACATGTCTCTCACAAGTCTCTTTACAGTAGAATTATTGTTTTGTTGTAAAACACCATACGGTGGTATGTATTGCAAGTACTATAGATATATGGCTTGTTGACTCGCCAGTTGTTTGAATCTACATACGATAGTCAATTTATAACATGCGCTATCTACAGCTATAGTATATTTACACAATGGAATTGTGTAGATGAATCTGCGTGATGAGAACTATACAGTTGAGATTTTATTGTATTAGATAAAAAATTGTAATAAATAGTTTTAACAAATTGCTATTACTAAATGCAAATACTTTGCATTTCTTTTAGACAAGTTTATAAAATACAGACATTAACTGATACAACAAAACAAACTTGTACAGTACAACTACTAAGGCTCAATTTTACACCATATCCGATTTTGTCTGAAATATTTCATATACACTTAAATGAAAAAAATTGCAAAGTTTTGCTACATATAAGCGACTCCTTTATATCTAACTTAAGTGTACTTTTATAAACACATAATAATAAATATCCCGCTTCTTTGTAATTCAGGTACAAGCCAAACCAAAGAGGTGAACCCTCTTCTTCACATCCAATGGTAATTACTGTGTGCACTTATCCGTTACGGTGGTATAGAAACAATTTCATTGCACTTTGTTAAATTAGATTCATTAAATATTACCAATATATGTAAAAAAGTTATTTAGTAAATAGTAATGAATGTAAAGGTGATGTTCTAATAATATCATTTAGTTACAAACTTACATCTAAAGAAATCTTTAACAACTATCATTAAATACATTGTGTACACGATAATTACAGATTACAATTAAGTAGCTGCCATTTTATGTATTTATTACAACCAAGGAACTTGGAGAGAATAATAGCTACCACCACTCGCAGCAATCCATGCCGCACTGAATATTCTTCATAACCTAAATGTGATGAGAAAAGTAAGACACGTGCAGCAAATTGAAATTTTAACAGGTCTAATACTGGTTTCTATAAAATCGTAACAAAGCATAAATGACAAATATAAAGTAGTGGTACGGGGTCGCTATTATTGTTCTAAAGCGGTGAAATATTTGTCCAAATATTATAAGAATAATTACAAATATATAAAATTTTTCGCATATTTTTAAAATAAATACTGTGATGTTTGCGAGAAATGACGAAGAGAGCATGGTAATGAAATTGGTCATTAACAAACATTTATAATAATAATAATAATAACAGGCAATATTCTACCTTCCCCGACATTGACTAATTGCACGTTGTACAGCTTCAGTGATGTTTTCGAATACTGGAATTTGTTTACGCTTCGCAAGATCTGATAAATAAACGCGACCTCTGTTATAGTCTTTAATCGCTTGAGTGGTTAACTGCAAAGTTTGAAAATTACCTAAGAAGAAAAAGAGGCTCAAATTTATATACCTGCTCGTGTCCGTCGCATGTAGTTGGTAACGACTGTATGCACAAAATTAAATTAGGCCAACTCAAACCCATATAATGGGCGGCAAGTATCATTGTAGTTAATGACCTGGTGTCATTCGTTACTACAAATAATACTACTTTGCTACTCTCTATCGACTTGTTCCAATTCTCAAGCTTGAGGGATATTTCCTTGTTGAAGTACGTGCCATTTGTCGGATCTTTCTCATTGTCCGCATTCGTTTCTCTTATTGCCGGATTGTAATATGTTAATCCGTGTTTTTTTAAAAGAGGAATTGCGACTGTTTCGCGCCACGTAGCCTGCGGCGAACACGAGCCTCCCAAATAAACATCACTTACAAACCCTTTAAGAACGCGATCGTCTTGTAATCCATTACAAGTTTTATGATCCGTCATCATATCACAGTGAGTATTGTTGTTTGTTGAACATTGACGTTGCACCGGCTGACTTGCCCAATCTAAAAGAAAGTTGTGTACTTGATTCAATTTGTTAACGTCCGAGTACAATAAATAATTGCAAAACAAAAAAGACACTTCTGAAAACCAACACCACTAAATCATCGTGGGAACTTTTATACATACAATCATACAAATGTGCTTGGAAAAACAACAGAATTACGTCAATTTTCCGTTTGGGTCCTACTTCTGTGACGTAACACTTTACAGAATTGAATAGATCCTGCAAAATGGCATCCAATTCGTGACAATAGTGATATGAAATAAAGAAAGCTAAACTATTAAGATCCATGCAAGATCTAGATATGTAAATGAGATACAAGAGGAGAAACTTTTTACAGATGGCTGTGGTTATGAAAGAAGAAAATGAAGGCAATGGGAGGGGAGGTATTTAGCTTATTTTTGTTACACCTACCCAATGTAGAATTAAATGGGCTTTTCTTTGACAGCAAACCCATTTTTAGCTTCAAACTCCAATCTTGACACTTTTACGCCAAGAGTAGATACAGTTGTAGAAAACATACATTACAAATACTCAACAGTTATAGGAGATTATAGACGTACTGGGAGCTACCTAATACACAAAAATATTATCGGTAAAAAGGGCTAATAAGTGAAAATAAAAAAAGAACAGTGTGAAATGGATACAGACACATTCAACATCCTGAATATAAAGAACATAAATTAGCAAAACAAATATTGAAACAAAAGCGAAGATGTTATTTTCAGTACCTATAGCAGAATTTAGAGGTTGAATAACAAACAATCTAAGTAAATGTCTCGTCTTCAAAAGTGTACTTCTCCAATATAACAAATTAAGTATTCTACCATCAGTGATCGTGTTGCAACCGTCGCTACTAAACTCTGCCACCAAAGAACAGAATTCTTCGAATGAGATTTTCATTTTACTCGCCTCAATATTAGAACTGCTTAAATAGCTATACAATTCGGCAATTTGCAACGTCTTATTAGTTAATCGATAATACGCATCTAAAACATCATTTAAATGTAGCTTCCCCGTTGCATCGACATTGTACGAATCAAACACTTCTCTTAATTTCCTAAAATTCTGAACGTTGTATAAAAACAAAGTCACAATTAAAGGAAGCATCTTACCTTAATTTACTAGTAACCTGCTCTTCGGCCAAGTTATAAGAATACTTTAATATGCTTGTGGTCTTTTGTAGTGCCGATGTTAAATTCGAATGTACCTTTACACCTTGATTACGTAATAACGACAATAGCGTCATCTGACCGCTAACCAGATCATCATACTCCCTAGAAGTCAATCTTTAAAAACAATAGTGTAATTTGTGTTGCAAAAAAGATGATGGGCCACCTTGTAGCAAATTGAAACTCTTGTTACCATTAAAGTAACAAAAACACCAAGAAACCACTATATTTTAAAAAAAAAGTACATTAAAGAAATGAAAAAAAATTTACATTTTTCCAATCATTTGTTACGAATTTAATTAACAAACACGCAAACGGTGACAATGTCATATGTTTGTCTCAACAAATTTTATGTAACCAAAAAGGACCAATGGATATAAAAGATAAATGAATGGATAAAGGAAAGACTGCCTTGGAAACCCATTAGACTATTAAAAACTTTCTGGTAATTGGGTATTATCACATTTTTTAAAAAGTGCATCAAGTAAAAGTGTATGAATGTAATAATCACGTACACCACTTAAAAAAATAAAATTCAGCGCCATTAGCGGAAAAATGAATTTGAAGTTTGAATTTATTTTGATGGCGCGCAAACACACCGTGACGTCATAGCTCTCATGTCAGTAGACGTAGGGCTCGAAATTTTTCGTGATGATTGCTTTGGTTCGTTGTATACGTTGCATTTTGCTGTATTTAATAATAATAATAATAGAGGTTTATTAAATAGAATATAAAACAAAAAAGGAGAGCTTCCAAACTAAAATAATCACTAAAATACAATATTCTATTTAAAAGGGACAAGATATCGGCAAGCCGGTTTGCAATCTCGCCCTAAGAAGTCGAAAAAGTGTACATTTCAAATTCATGATCACTAGATGAACTACTCAACTCAACAATTATGTACTATTATACAGGGTGGTGACTTGCGTCACGCATCATAGGGATTTCAATGTAAAATTCATAACATGCAACTATTGGCTCCCCAAATTATTTTAGAGCAAAAATGTATTAAAGTTTTTTGTAGAAAAAAATCTTTACGTCAATAAACCGTATTAGTTTTCAATTTTTTACATAATAAAGACGGAAAATTGGAAAAATAAAACCCGCATCTTTTGCAATAATCTGCGATGCCATGGAATTTTCTAAAACAAAAAGATGTCCAGTTATCAATTAGCAGTAGTTCGAAATGGATTTTATGATTGACTTGGTTACTGCCTTGCAGTTAATGGTGACTTATTCGAACATTTATTGTAAATTGTTATATTAGGAAACCGTTTTTAGTCATTTGGTCTTTCTTTATGTTGAATTCGCTGTTCTAAATATAATACTTTTTGATAGAATTTGATTTGTTTTATAGCAGACATTCCATGGCATGACGGATATTGGCGTAGTTTTTGTATTATAAAATTCCATGGCATCACAGATTATTGAAAAAGATGCGGTTTTATTTTTCCAATTTTCTGTCTTCATTATGTAAAAAATTGGAAACTAACGCGGTTGATTGACGTAAAAAATTGTTGTCTATAAAAAACCTTAATACATTTTTGGTCTAAAATAATTTGGGGAGCCAATAATGGCATGTTATGAATTTTACATTGAAATCCCTATGATGCGCGACGCAAGTCACCACCCTGTATACAGGGGGTTCAAAAACTAACAGTAAAAACTGAATTGAAAATAATCGGTAAAATAGCTTTACCTTTAGTACTTTAACATTTCCTTCCCTGTTACATAATTTACTTTACCTCCCTTACCTAATTAATCTTCAACTCTGTACGCCCCATTTTTGAAATGTGATTCCTGCACAAAATTCTATTTTACTTCGAGTGATATTTACAGACTCAAAAACTCAGGTGACCTTGGCCCAATGAGAATTGCGCAATTAACGGGGTGTCTGAACAAAACCTAAATCTTCACAAGGCTCAGGAGTTTCTTCAACTTACAAGCCATTAGAAAAACTCGTAAGCTTTTAAAGATATTTAGTAATTTAATTTTGACCCAGTGAAAAAGACAAACCTGTATTGATACAAAATGGCCCAAAATTGTTGAAAGTAGTGATGATATTTACCTATAAGACAGTTCCTCACCCATTATGCTCTGTCCAAGTTGGTAAGGATGAGCAACAACCACAACACAACGATCCGATGCAACTAAATAAGCCACCTCAATCATGCCAGCTACGCTACGTGTTTGACTATCGAGCACAAACAATAATACAGAAGCAGACTGTTTCGCGTCGTGCTCTTCTGCGACTAACTCAGGTCCCCATATCGATTTTTGCGGATTGTAATACGTTATACCGTGTTTTTGAAGTTCAGGTATCGCCGTCTCGATTCGCCATGTTGTTGGATTACACGAACCGCCTAAGAACACTTCACAATTTCTTGCACAGTCTAAAACATGATCTCTTAGCCACAGCAGTTAAAGCGCCAAATTGTACCTACTTGCATTTGGAGACTTCTGAGGTGATCTTCTATGTGATTTTGGCCTTTGCATTTCTCTCGCAAACACACAAAATTCTCCAAAAGTTAAGAAGGAAGTTGTACCGTTTCGTCGTCCACATTGCCTTGCACATTGTAGCATTTCTGAAACTGACACCAAAAAAGCTTAAATTCACAACATCAAAGCCCGAATATCAAGAATTAATATAAACGGAACGTACCTTGAGATTTGGACGGATAAAGATGCATGTCATTGAAAAGAGTTTGGACCGAATCCCCAGGAATGTGAGACGTGTGCCCTAATCTGTCGCCAATGGTATTGTACACTTCCCTGTAACAAGCATAATTATGTCAGTTTTCTAATTTAATTTTGTGGTAAGTAATAAAGACTAATTTGCAAATTAAATTAAGGAAAATTGAAAATTAACGAAGAAAATTTACATAAAATTATAACCTATTTAACTGTTCAAATTTCTGCAGTGCACGTGTTTAATATCTTCACCCTTTGACAGATGGAGCTGCTTTGTGATTATATACACCATGTTTCAACATTATGGTAACCAATTAGAGAAAAATTATTACCCAGCCGCATTAGACAAAATTTAATTTGCAACTAATTTGACGATCTTCAACCTAATCTTACAATGGGCATATTTAGTCATATGTCAGATTGTAAATAATTAACCATTTTTGAAACCGCTAGAGTATTTTCGGACTTAATGGTAAATGGTATAGTATAGAGTTCGAATTGGTACCATCATAAGTTCCAACCTGCGTTGCGTTACAAAACCCGCTAAGCGTTATTGATAGATATTGGTAGATGGTTTATTCGTTAAAAATTAAATATTTGTGGAATCAGTTATACTTAACAGCAGATAGGTATACAATTAGTAGATATGATTATGGTAATAGAGTTATTTGTACAAACATATTAGCACGAAAATTCGGAAACTAAAACTACAACGGGCGCCAGAAAACAAAGTTTTAAATCGCGGGGTGAAAGTGACAAAAACACCTAAAAATAATCACATAATTCGTTAAGAATTTTACCAACCGTCGGACACTGAAGAGGTTGTATTAAATTTTGAATTTTATTGGTTGCTCTGCCAGTAGATAAAAATAATGATAACATGGTCTCGTCTCAACCATGGCCATATATGAGTACGTTGTGACTTGCCAAACAAACACGTTTGCCGCACATTAAAATCGCATGGTATTTTATATTTCTATCGGGTGCAGAATATTGGTTAATTGAAAAATCGAAAGGGTGCTGTCATTAATACATACGATCTTCTCGCGTTCGTTAATTCCTTCATCTTATAACAACAAAATTATAAACTTGTTGCTGCGTCTCAATGCGTTTGCCTCGGCGTTTGCTTTGCTTTTATATGGACATGTAAAGCTGAGCATTGTGAAAAAATTAAAATTGATTTCAAATTTGATTTTAAATATTCCAGTGCTGAGTGCTGACCAGAATAATATAAAATCTCATTATTTTTTCATCGCAGTGCTAAAAAGTGCAGTTGAATTTTGTTTCAAATACCAAAATAATGCCATCGAAATCAGAATCTTTTCGTATCCCAGTGAGGGGTGGAGTAGGAGTATAACCAATTTCGGTCCTAATTTAGGGTTTGGGGCGTGTAGCTCCGAAACGAACTGTTTTGGGTCCTTAGCTTATTAAATGTGTTCCTACCACCATTACATTTTTTAACATATTAATTCTTTCACCAAAACTTTTTTAATGTTTTATATTAAATGCTGTTGTATGATATGGGCGTCTATATTATGTGTCTATGATTCCCCACAATAGATTAAATGAACAGTTCTACAGTTACTTACATATCGAATAAAATAATACATAATTGAAAATATAAAGATAAAATAATCATTTGTCCTAGACACCGCACACTAACACAACGTTTGTAACTCACGAAATGACTGAATAAATTAATTATCACATGTCATCCTTTCTATGTATCTAAAGTTCAATAAAAACGGATGCGGTTTTGTTATCAAGGGGATTTTGCACTTAATATCGAAATACAAAAAAATTTTGATGTTAATCGATAACAATTAAATAAAAGTAACGAAGTTCATTTTTCGTAATGAAAAACGTTGAATCTAATAATACCCAACCCTTAATTGGTAACCGCATCAAAAATCTTTCAATCGGGCTTTCTAGTAAATATCGTTGTTTGCCTAGATACCTATGGCTTCTTCAGTATTAATTTGATTCGATAAGTGGGTTGTTTTCCTAAGGGAAAAGGTTTGTATATAAGAGAGAATCTTTTCTTACCTACCACTCAGAAGTGGTACGCCGTTCCTAACAAAAAGAAATACAGACACAGTAAAACGATGCAAAAACTCGTGGCGTTTCTTTTAATTATTTTGGTGATCAATTTATGTGCGGCTCAGCTCAATTTTTCAACGGGATGGGGAAAACGGACATCCAATGGTCCATCGAACTTGAATGATGGCAACTGCAAAACTCCAATCGACAGTCTAATGCTGATTTACAAACTAATCCAGGTAAGGCTATACTTATACGTTTTCCGTACGATTTTAATTCAATGTTTTCAGAACGAGGCCCAGAAGCTTCAAGAGTGCGAAAAATTTTCCAAGTAGAATTTTATTACCTACTCATGTTTGTGCCCTTTTTAGTACATGTAAATGTAACGTAACAAAATAAATAGGTATATTAATTTCTATTTTTTTTGTACTGTATTGGAATTAGTTTTGGTAAGTTTTATTTGATTCCAACAATTTTTTCGTTATTCAATGCGTATGTGATATGAAGATATTTTTCTGTAGGAAATTTTACTAGAAACTAAGACGATTAAAAATAAAACATTCTTTGGATTCAAGAGTAGAAATCGTTTTCAGCGTATTTCCACAAAAATTTAAAAAAATGCGCCGCCACTTTGTCCGTTCGTCCGTCCGTTTCTACGACTGCGTCACTATCAGGTCTTTATCTTAGCTACCTATTGTTTTTATTTTTTCGCCATTTGGTTGGTTGTAGTGTAGAGACGTGTATAAGGGACGAATATCTGCTAATTTTTATGAAATCTTAAGGGAAAGTCTGTAAAAGCAAATTGCAATCACGTATATCAACAAACAAATTGCGTCGATACTCAGTAAATAACTTCCTTATTTGCAGACCATTTTTTTCTGAAATGAATTCTTATAAAAGCGAGTAAGATTGTTGAACGGTTTCTTCTCGCGCAGACACAAAACCATATTTTGCCCCCCCCCCCCCTGCTAGTTTCCGCTATCCAAATTACCGGCATAGTTACCCTTACCCGTGTCGCTCTATAGAATAAAAATAATTTTATACTTGAATGTTTTATTTTCTCATCGATCGAAAGGCTGTCGTTTAGTATTAGGCTGTCAATTAAATGCCATGGTGGTATGGTTCAGGGGTAGTAATTCCTGGAGCCGGCGTTAGTTCTTGAGACGGTAGCGAGTGCCGCTGATATGTATTATCATACGGATAATCGAGTGCATACGTCGAGGACCATTTGAGCTCATAGGTTAGGGAATGTTCTCAGCGTTTTGTCAACAGGCTTGCTAAACTTGCTCCTCTTGCAGGCATCAACAAAGATTAATATTTCTTATCCTTTTTAGTTTTTACTTAGATATAGTATGTTGTGTTTGCTATAGCTTCGAAACCTTGCACTTGTGAGTATCGTCTTTCCACCAGGATCAATTTATAAATTATTAGGATCAATAAGCTCCAACCATGCTGTACCTACATACACTTTGACTCAGACCATTGTATTTAACTAACCTTTTAAATGCAATGCTCAGGCTCATTTTGTCTTCAAGGTTTACTTAACAGTAGCTTCGTCACGTATTATTAATTAATTATTGACGCAGCCTTAAAATATCCTTTTACCAAATTAATTTCCAGAAGCCAGAAGTAATTTCAACTTCCCTTCAAGAATCATACACCTAGTATAAAATAACAAGGGCAACATTTGAATTGTCTTGACGGTGATGTCACGATGTGAAAATAATTCTAAATAAAAATAAAACAAATTACATTATTTATAGCTCCACTGTAATTCTTTCGAGTTGTTTTCGACAGTACAGCTTTTAAATTTTAATGTTAAAAGTTCAAAATTCTTCCGTTTATTAAATTAGGTACCTACGTGCCGCGTACGGCCTTTGAATTGAGTACCGCACACACTTTTGAACCTAAGTGCAAAATGGTTTTTTGAGTCGAACTAACGATGTTGCTTTGTGATGCTCGGCTTCTCAGATGAAAAGAGGATTTTATTTATCCATCAGGATCTAGGACTGTTTTGGTAGGTAATGCAACGTCATCACCCATTTTATAGATGGTGTAATAAAAAAAATGGAATTTATACAGACGTTGTACGTACGGTGCTTCTTCTATGCAAATATTTACAAGATGGTCTTGCGGAAAGACCCTGATCAAGTGTAACGACTTCGAGTTTCAAGATCAACGGATTCCCTTGTAGAAAATACTTAAAATTGTCATGGTCAGGGAAGGAGAGTGATGATGTCACATCTACTTTTATACACAATATAAATGTTGTCTGTGTATGGTAGGTACACTAGTCAAGTTCGATGTTTAGGCATTGTTTTTGTTTTAGTATCGCCATTGAATAATAAATCTATTCAATGGTATCGCGGACTACGACCTCCTTATCCGAAATGATCCGTGGCAAAACAAGAAAAAGATGACGGAAAAATGAGATCATTTTTAATAACAAAATTTGTTCACGGGATTACACGCATATAGCTTTTACATACGCCTACCAGTACCACGTCCACTTATCCTTTTGTGTTTTAGAATGGTTTTAGCAATTAGGCAAAGGTAGCGCGCTTGTAATTAAAACGAAAATTCAAGACGATTTGATCTCAGCTCAGAATATTCCCCCAGTTAATTCGCCCATATAAAAAAAGGCGCCCAAAAGAGAATTTGCAACCATTTATATATTTTTAAATTAAGATCATTAATGACATTTCTCCACCAGAGCCCCGCATGCGAGCTGTAAATACATTAAGGGGTGCAACCCTAACGTATAATTATTGTATTCAAAACCGTACCCGTTCGGGTCAGATAACACCCAGTTAGCCCCCCCCCCCAACCCCCCCAATCCACAATATCCCCCACATTGTTTGGCATATTTAGCGGCCCAGTGCGATGGCAACAAAGTAGTGGTGAAACACCCCTGATAGTGCCTACCAGGGACGCATCCTTGAGACCTACAACCACTAAAAACTCGTGCTCATCCGAGGCGTTCGAGATATATAGCCTCGGCTGATCCGTTCTCTCTTCCCCAGCGCGACAATTCATTCTACATGCAGCCCATCCGTCATCCATGATCCAGTGTCTTTAAAACAAGAAATAAGAATAATTTTTTTCCCAGTCTTCCGATTGTTTGCATTTCCTTCGCTTCGGATCTTTCCTTAGTTTCTTTAGATTTTTAAATAATTATTGTTATTCTTGTGTTTCTTTAATTTTTGAATATTACTGTTGTCTTCGGATCCGTCGTTTCCGCTTCCTCTCCTTCTCGATTTCGCTTAGATTATTACTATTCTTCTTTAGACCTTTATTTGCAAAATGTTCGGACAATTTTTTTTAAAAAGTGTATAGCAACTGAATACCGATTGTTTAAAGATTAGATGCTTTGCACCGATTATTGCTTTAATCCCTTTTATTTTTTACTTTACTTTATTATATATTTATTTACTTTATTATATACAGTGTGTCCCAGATCGGGTGGGATTGCATGGGTAACTTTCTTATTATTAAGGATAGAGAATTGGTTAAATGAGCAATGTTTTGCAGTTTTAGATGCTTATTTAAAATTTCCTTTTGGAAATTCAAAATGTCGCATAGGTTCGACGTAAATTCAAAAAAACTAAAATTGGTCATTTCCTTGAACGTCTTATATCATCGAAAGTATAAGAGATATAAAAAAAAATTTTATATAAAAGTTACTGTCTTTGATACGTTTAATTTAGAATTGATGTCAAAAAAAAATTCAAGATGGCTACTTTTGAGGAACATTTACCAACTTCCTAAAGTTAAATAGGCGCCATATGGGATTTTTAGATTACTTGATAGATTTTTTAATTCTCGTTTCAACGAGCCATCATAACATAAGATTGAAAATAAGATACCAGTTATATCAACGGTTTTTATATTTTAATTAAGTAGGCTGTGATGAATTAAAAAAAACAAAACAAAATCTATTCGAGGCAACAAAACAATGAAAATAATTACATCAGATGTTTAAAAAAATCAGGGACGCACTCATGAGAGGGGGGGGGTTTGGGCATTACAACTCCCTCCAAAATTTTATATAAGCATTAGGTTTAGAAAAATTTGATTTTTATAACATCACTTATTGACTTATTATCCAAACTTACATACCTACAAATGGTGGTATAACTACAAACTACTTATCCCCTCGAAAAAAGTCATGCCATTATCCAGTTAAAGACATTTCAAGACACTTCGCTTTATTTTACACAATGTATTACCATTGATGCATTGTCCCAGGTCACATTTTGTAGGTGATTTATCCGCAAGAATATCAAAACTAACAGTTTTACCAGTCCGAGTATATGGACAGATAAATCTTATTTTTCTAACTGTGAAGTGTTCAAATCGACATTATGAACACTACTCGTCACAGGAACTACATGTTGTAGTTTCACGCCGAAATCAAGTAATATTTTTTTAAATTAATGTATTTTATGGCATAATGGGAAGTAATTGCACCGGTAATCTTCGATGGATCTTTAACTGCTCACCATTATTTACAAATTCTCCAATAAACTTCCTTAAAGGATTTTTCTCGACAACGTATGTTCCGAAGGAAGGGTTAGTTTATGCTACCTACCAACAAACTGGCTGCTCAGGTCACAATTCACGAATTATGTACAGTACATTAAATTATAAAAGTAAGTACTTAATTAAAAAATAAAAGTAAAGTGGAAGTAGCTACCACTACAATAATAATAATAATCATCAATGGCAACACGTTGCCTAAACTAAACTGTCTTGAAGTGTGTTTCACTAATAATGGCCAGTATTTTAAACATCTGGTGTAATTATTTTCATTGTTTTGTTGCCTCGAATAGATTTTGTTTTGTTTTTTTTTATTCGTCACAGACTACTTGATTAAAATACAAAAACCGTTAATATAACTGGTATCTTATTTTCAATCTTATGTTATAATAGCTCGTTGAAAAGAGAATTTAAAAATCTATCAAGTAATCTAAAAATCCTATATGGCGCCCATTTAACTTTAGGAAGTTGGTAAATGTTCCTCAAAAGTGGCCATCTTGAATTTTTTTTGACATCAATTCTAAATTATGCGTATCAAAGACAGTCACTTTTATATTAAACTTTTTTTTATATCTCTTATACTTTCGATGATATAAGACATTCAAGGAAATGACCAATTTTAGTTTTTTTGAATTTACGTCGAACCTATGCGACATTTTGAATTTCCATAAGGAAATTTTAAATAAGCATCCAAAACTGCAAAACATTGCCCATTTAACCAATTCTCTATCTTTAATAATAACAAAGTTACCCATGCAATCCCACCCGATTTGGGACACACTGTATATATACTACTATTTATGGAAAAAGTAAACCCACAGTTTTCTAGACATTACCCCAAAAAGTGAAATCATATTTTTTGTAAATAAAGTCTGTATCTTGGCGGGCGGTAAATCAACAATTTGAGTGTAGCAAGTGGCGCCGCTGCGCAGTGTCGCCGGGAACTAACAAGAACCAAAACAGGAGTTGACAAAACAAGAATATCACCTTGTCTCTTGCAACTACACTACAATCATCTACACACTATAATGTAAAAAAGTTGCGCTTAGGTAAAGAAAACTCAAGTTCATTTTAAATATCTAAGTAAATGAAGATTTGTCTTAATTAGTAAAAAAAAATGCCCAGTAGATACAGTTATGGCTGGTGTTGGTACTTGGTAGGAAGTATTGCAGTCACAACGACTTTACTCCTAGAATTGAAAGTTACAACAATAGAAAAAGCATCAAGCAGTCCCTGAACTTTAATACTTACTGTTAGCATACTAATACCAAATTCGTGACTACCACACATTAATTACATCATTTGCAATCGGCTTTCAATTCAGTTGATCAAAAAAAGTTCCTTTAAAACTACCGGACAAAATTAATCCATTGGCACATTTCCCCTATTATAGCTACATATTTATTTATCAAGTGTAGCAAAGTTTAATTTCCGATGCACTTGGGCACTCAATGAGAATTAGATCCTGATATATTTTCCGAAATGGGTCGTGACTGTTATGACTATAAATTCATTACCTACCTACATCACAGTTAGGTATACACAAACAACAGATTGTTACCCTTATGCATTTCATAGCTAACACAAATAATACACTATTTAGGTATACAGTAACAGTAGGTATAGAGAAAGTGGCGACAATAGAAGCCCAGCCGCCATGTTGCATCGAAAATTTAAATTAGAAGTAGGCAACGTCATGTATAAAAATAAGTTTCGAAAGGATCTCAATTTAATACAATGCCTACAAACTTTTCAGTAGTCTAAACCAACAGACAATGATGGACGCAACAGTGGTTACTGTTATATACTGATTAATTTGCACCTACCTCTTGTCGCGTACATCCACGTGACTTCTGTCGTCGTGACTGTCTTTCCGGTTCCGGTGTACGAGACCCGTGCAACGTTGTCACGTTTACCTTATATTACATCCCCCCTTTTATGGCTTAAAGTTCAAAGTCTTTAGAATAGTTTATCAGGCAAGTTCGGTTTCACTTAAACAACTGATTTAGAATTGTCAACTTAATACTATAGTCTTGTCTTTATAACTACGGGTTTATGGTATTCGGGCACTTCTGAGGCCATAAGCGGCTCTGTTGGTGTTATTCTGTGTTCGATACACTTCTCGCAACCAGTTACCTTATCATCGATGTGTTTAGCAATACCGGGCCACCAGATTGTTTCCTTGGCTCGTGCACGACATTTTATGATTCCAAGGTGTCCCTCGTGTATTCTGTTCAGCATATCTGGTCGCAATTTTGGCGGTACATATATTCGAGTTCCCAAACAGACAATTTCGTCCAACAGTGACATATCTCCTCGGTATTGGAAGAAAATTCTGTCCTCAAGCGGAAGAAGTTTATTACTTGGCCACTCATTTTCTATGTAGTGTCGTAACCTCAGAGTTTGGGGATCCGAAACCTGTGCTGACCTAATTTTCTGTAGGTTTGTGTCCGATATAGGAATTGAAGTGCAGATGTGCTCATAGAAATCTTCCACAGCATCGATTAGTAATGCGTCTTTTTCAGGGTCAGATGATGCAATTGGTGCCCTAGACAACAAATCGGGAGTAATCATTTGTTTTCCCGGAATATATTGTATGGTATATTTGAATTGCAATAATCGCATCCTGAAACGCTGGATTCTAGCGGACAGATCAGATATAGGCTTACTTCCAAGAAGAACAACCAATGGTTTGTGATCGGTTAGCAATATAAATTCTGTACCTATCAAGAACTGACTGAACTTCTCGCATGCCCACGTGGAAGCTAAAGCCTCACGTTCTAATTGAACATAGCGTTTTTCAGTCTCCGACATCGTTCGCGAAGCGTAGTAGACTGTTCTCCACGTGCCATCTGTATGTTGCTGCTCTAATGTAGCGCCTAAGCCATAGGAACTTGCATCAGCCGCTACCCGCGTCGGACGTCCCGGCGCGAAGTGCGCTAGTATCGGAGCGTTTGTCAGAGCCCGTTTGATTTGATCAAATGCGGTTTGTTGGGCGCTTTCCCACACAAACTCATTTTTTGTACTCAAGAGTTGGAGTATTGGTCTTGCCATATCCGCTAACCCAAGGAACTTTCTGAGATTCTTTCATTCCCGCATATGACGAAATGCGCAAACCCGGAATGTTCGATTATAAGGGCCTTAATCAATATATAGATATAAAAACAAAGAAAAACCAATTGATTTGTCAAAAATTATTCGCATCAAGTTAAAAACAATGTCCATAATTTACAGGTAAGCTACCGAACACAAATTTCTGATTTTTTAAACGCAAACTTCCAGACTTCTTACCCAACGCTGTTTAACAAGGCGAAGCATGGAAGTGAACAAATGTTTCGTTCCCTTCCACTGTAAAACAACCTGCGCCACAAAAGTTACAATCAAAAGCCTACCTTTCAAAAAGGATCCCCATCCCGAAAAGGACCACGATTTGCGAAATAGAAAAATAAGACGTCATCTCTCTCCGTGCCTCAGTATTTACGCCTCAGAGCTGCACAGTTTTATGTCATTGAGCCACAGAACGTCAGGTTTGATGTACCTCGATGGCGAGCGATACATTTTCTGTTTCAGGCATAGTTGCTGCGTTTTACGTCTATCTGTTAGGGAATCAGGCAATTTTATTACCATGTGATATTGAGTATTATCTGTCGTTAGTCAACGACCTGCATTTGGGTTCAGGGATATTTTTAGTCAAATTCTTATTTATCATCCCTTTCATGTTCCACTATTTAAATGGAATAAGGCATCTTATTTGGGACTTGGCGAAGTTATTGGAAATGAAACAGATCAAATCGACTGGTACGGCAGTCATAGCGCTCGCCTTGGGGGCTTCATGTTTGCTTCTTTTTGTGTAAATGTCATGTTTTTAATAGAATGATTTGAGTAACACTTTCTCTTACTTGTTTAACGTATGGAAAAAAAAGTTCGGCGGGTGATGTCAAAATCCTTATCTATGAAACTAAATTTCATTTGGAAAAAGACCAAACGCATGGCCCGATGACCAAGAAGTAAACCGATATTTGGTGGTGCGGTTTTTGTTTACGTATCGTAAGTGTGGAACTGCACGTTCCAAGAACGTACACGAAGGTAATTCAATATTCTTACCGCGGATGAATAAATGAATGAAATGTTTTCCCTCATTACTGGGAATCTAATGTTAAATTATAGTAAAATTACCCGCTGACTATGTCTCCAACTATTTCCGTTGTCCAAATTTCAACAATTTGTAGTAGGTAATTAAGTTCTACTGAGAAATGATAAACCGCAAAATGGCACGAATTAGATACGCCAAACTGTGCCTAAAGCGAGGCCTAAAGTATTCGTGCTTCATTGTGATCTCATTTCTCATTTATTAATTACACTTCAATTACAATTGGAGATTTATGATCAGTTGGAATGCACGTTTTCCGGTAGTGTAGAATGTTGATGGTGCATAAGTATCTAGGTGCTCCTGCTCATTCATACTTCTCAACTAAATCAATGAAAACGTACGTTTCCCACGTTTATTATCACTGTGGGGAAGGTCTCTTATCTCTCACGTAAGACCATCAACCACTTCCTTTCCTATTATTACTGCAAATTTGCACATTTTTTCTCCGGCGCTAAGACTATTGTAAACCTTTGCACAGGATGCGAGATGTGGTGTCGAGTTGGGAAAAAGGAAAAATTGGAAGAATTTAGCGACCCACCACAAAAAGAAAATTTTTAGAAGTCGGTAAGTAATCGTAATTTACTTAAGATGAATGAAATCATCAAGATAGATACTGTGATCGTATTTTCCTATAATTGCAGTGCAGATCGGGTTGTGCATACCTATTTAATTATAAAACGAGAGTCTCAATCGTGCTAACAAGAAAAAGTCCGACAACGACGCCGTAAGATTTTTTTTCAAAAATCATTTTTTGTGTATATCGCAACGAAAAATGTCAAAATTTCTTAAGGGATTAAGTATCTAAAAGCAGAAATTTTCCGGAAAAATTGTCTCGAACATTTCCATTCATACCAGAACGCACAAATTACCAATTATGGAAAGTTTTGTAACTATAAGGCTCGATGCACACTTGCGTGTTTTCAAGCCGCGTGCAAGTAGCGGGCGATCGCCGCCGGTTTAGCAGTGCATGGGCTCAAGTTGCACAATACACCAAGTCACCATCGACACAGAATGATGCTACTAAAAACCAACCGACAATATGGTACACAAGATCAGTACCGTTCCTTGATAGGATAAAGACAAGAATTGCCTATCAAGAGTTCCGAAAATGTCTCTAATAACTGACAGCTAATAGCAAGAAAATTATAAAGAATATAGAGCTAGAAATGATTCGCTGCCGAAAGAATTTTTCAAAAAACAAATAATTGATGATAATTAAATTAAACATCACTTAATCTTCTTCATAGTAATTGATGATTAATGATTTATCTGGAAACGTGATGGTTCAAAGGTTGATTACGTTGCAAAAAATTGAATATATTGGACCATGAAATGACGTATCCAGTGTCAGATCTAATTTGTAGCTCTCGATTTAATAATGAATAATAAAAAGGATGACGTGAGGTCGAGAATGTCGTATAATTTAGTTATTCGCAGCACGTTAAATCTTGGTAGCTTATAAGATTTTATTTATTTCACTTGCCTTTAAAATTCTTTTATATTTTCGTACACATTATGATTACAAGATTGATGTCAATTCCCGAGGATTAAATTTCTAGAAATTTTAAAAACGTATGTCATCCAAAAGGCATTTTACAATATTGATGAATTTCCAAATGTGATTGTTGCTTGCTAATCTATGGCTTTATAATGCGATATTTCATACTTTTATTACTTATTGATTCAATTGACTTGTGTAAAACAGCTGTTATTAACACCAATTCCAATATACATACATAAATAAAAAAGAAATAAATAAATGCCCCCCTCTCTCCCCATACTCACTATATCTGGATTATCTGATTATCGATAGTTTACGAATTTTTTTTAAACAAACTCCATATGGAATTTTGGCTTAAATTTCTGAAACATTTCCGATTATTCATGTGTGATTATAATAGTTTCACAAGCTAAGAATTGTGTGTTGTGTAAACTATATTTTTTCCACGTGTAACGTCAGCTATGAAGAAACATTTTGGGAAAGTCTGTAAACAAACAACTACTTATTTTACATTATATGATATATAGTATGAGTATTTTTATAGTTGCATTTAAAAAGGTACATAATCGTATATATATAGTTCCCATTTTAAACTAAAACAAATTATTTTCAACCGGAAATTAATTTATTGGCAGTGTCTTATTTGAACTATTTGGAACGCTGGACTTACAACTTATATTAGCAGTTCGATTAGCAGATTGCGTCGAAAATTAACACATAAGCCAAAAGTCCCAAAAGATACGTTTCCTCATTATTAATTTTATCTTAATTAAATGAGTCATCTTTTAATGTAATTGCTCGTGTAATTTTCACTAGAGGATCGTCTTTTGTTTTTAAGTTATGCGTATTTTTTATGCTGAATTTGGAAAGAGCATGTAATTCTAAGACCATATATACTGTAAAAAAAATGATACTGTATTTTGAAATATTGGAGTTAATTGATTTTAAAGTTTTAAAACCAAAACCTAAAAGCAATCATGAGTCCCAAGTTTTAATTAAAAAAAATCAAGTAGCCATGGAACAATATAGCCGTTAAAATGATGACAGTTCTTCATCAGTTTGTTTTATTGTGTGGTTTTTACGTAATTAAGTGAACACCGAATATAGAGCGGTTGATCTTGTTATAATTGCAACTAGTATTTGAAATAGGACAAGTACCTAAATTTTGAAAGAAGGTAAAAAAGTTAATTCTACAGCATATGATTAATTTTTATATAATTATGTAATTGCGACCAGCAATGTACATCATTATGAAAGCAAACATTGGATATTACTTATCAATACTGTAAATATATGGGCGATAAAGTTGAAGGATTATCACTTTTATGTTTGTTACATGAGGGGTACTGAAGTGTGGGACAATACAACATATTCTGCAATAATACACATAATACATTTACAATGATTCCCTACTCCTAATTTCTAGGCGAAATGGGCATGTGGCCGAGAAGCCTTTGAAAAATAAATAAAGATGACATCCTTGTAGAAAGTACATACCGACTAACCACATTATTATGTACACGGTTCGAAAAAGGATGGTAGGGAAATATGTATTTACAAATATTTTCGAAATAAACCGACCCAAGCAAAAATTCAAACATTGATTCTTCATTATTTTTTTCTCTACAGTTCGTACCCCAGAATGACGCACTGTAAGGGAGTGCAGGAACAACTCGGATCGTTCAATATGAATATAAAGAATCAAAAATAATTATTATGAAACATAATAGGAAGAGATACGAAATTCGTTAAATGAAGGCAAAACTGCTCATTTTCCTGCCAAATCTAACGTCGCGTCGCTTAGAAAGTAAAGAATTCCGAATACTCTCCGAATTATTCGAAAAAACCGTAATTTTTGGTCACATTATTTTAAAAAAGGAATGCCATTTTTTTAATGCATTTTTTTCTCCCCTACTAGCTGGTGATGAGATAACCCTAGTACATGGGGTTCCATTGTTATTATCAGAAGGTCATCATGATGTACTGAGTGTTATAACCCTTGACACTTTAAACGTAATTTTCGGGGAATATTCATCGAATCCATGCCCCTCGGTGTCATGTTCTCTGCAATACTTCTTAAAAAAAAGACGATTCGACGATACTTTTCTAAAAAAAAAGATGAGTCCTGAGAGATACACGTTGTGTGGAAGGAAGTGTCTGGGGGGTATGGAGTACCCCCATGGTCCCCAGTACACTATGGTTCCATTACCATTTCTGGGTCATCATTCAAATTGAAGAAACGAAAATTTTTGAACTTTTGAGGGTCATTTTAACACTAACACTGTCTAATTATCCAGCACATGAGTAATGACTATCATAAACCAGGCAGAAATACGAAGGTACCTATTTCACTTTTTTTTTACATAAAAATATATATATCGAAGTGTCTGTGTTTTCTTTGGCATGCAGCTGTGCGGTGTGCTCTAAGCCGCAGGTGATGTCTTTTCCTCAAAACTGACACAATATTCAAAATAGGGAAATTGCTTTTAAAATAAGCAGTAGTACATAGTAATAATAAATTAGGACCACAAAATTTAGTGAGTAGGCGTAGCATTTAAACGTTCAACGCTAACTTGATTCATGAACTTTTGACAACATTATAATGAGTTGGATCATCATTGAATTTATGTATTAAATCTGACCTAAGAGAGTCGGTGCCATCCAACACTTGACCTTTGGCACAGTCGCAGGGTCAATCTAACATTAGAGTAAATTTAAACGACTTAATGAAAGTGTATACCAAACAATTTTTTCTTCGCCAATGTCTAAAATACCGTCCTTTAAATTTAGATTGATAAATTTAAACTTAATAATACCAAAGCGTTGCCAGATTTTCAGAGCTTCGAATAGGTATATGCGCTTTCGTTACATTTTGATTTTACAGTGTAATTAGTATGCAAAACATCATTTTTTTAAGTAAAAGTCTAGAAAATTTACACGAAACAGGCTAAATACGTAAGCGTATAAAAAGTAATGTTTGCTGGCCTTATTAAAGTGTCGATAAGATAATGCTTTAATCAATTCTCCGAAATGCTGAACGGTTTCCAGGAAAAGACGGGATTATTCTTCTAATGTCGTTGTTTTTTTAATGATAATTTTGAACAGTGCGTCGGCAGCCATGACGCTTCGACTGAAAAGAGATAGAAAAGACCAAAAAGACGGCGATGGCCGCAAGCAGTCACCGTTTGTGGTATGACATCATCGATATTTATGTACAAAACAGTTGTACGCGTATCTATAATTAGCCTTACGAAAGGTATTATGTACCTACGCGACGTGAAAATTAACTTTCAGTTACTGCTTCATTTTCGATACAGCAACTTTTTTAATCTTCCTATATCGGTTATCTCGATTGATTGAGAACAGTAATAATTATTCATAAAACTTCATTATGAAAATAAATCGTGCAATTTTAATGTTTATATTTTTCAAAAAATGAAATTGGCCCTTCAACTAGCCTTTTGTATGTCCATCCGTGCAAAAGAGGGTTCCAAATAAAATGTCCAAATTTGAGCAAAGATCATTTATTCGCCAATTTCGTCTAGATCTGTCTACCTGTCTTTCTAGACGACGCCGACGTCGATTTAGATGGGTTATAACGACATACATACAGAACGAAGTATGTAAAGTTGCCTATTGTCAATCCCCAAATTTGGTTATTTACTATATTAATTTGTGTTCAATGGTAAAAACACAAACTTGTCCAATTTATAATGCACATTTTCTATCTGTATAAAACAAGCCGCGCGGCGGAAACTATTTTTTCGCGCTGTTGAGGTAAACTTTGTAGTCGTTTTTTCCAAGATAACTTATCTATAAATGAAGTTGGAACAATTTCCAAAATTGCCATAAGTTCATAAAGTTAATATCTAGGCAATAACACCAGGAAAAATTGTTTCCTTTTTTCTTTTACAAAATATGGTACCCTAACAGCCATCGACGTTACCCTAAAAAAAGATTATTTGAAAACATTTTAAGAAATCCCGGCGTTATTGTCTAGCTAAAACATTCACCTTTCACAGGAATATTCGACCCCTTCCGCATCTTCACTCAGAATTCAGATATCGTGGAACGATATCAAGCATTTTCTGGCAACGAAACGGGTGTACTGTCCACCCTTAATAAATTTAATGAGTAAGATAACGAATCGCAAGCCATAAACTTTTGCCGAGACTTTTGCCTTCTCTGGAATATTCAAATAAAGGGTAAAATAGGATACCATATGCAATTTCTTAGTAAATTTTCAGTTCAATAGCGTTCTTCTACATATAAAAATTGACATGGACAAATGGAGAGATAGTACGACGGAAATATTTACAGTAGGCATTACTATAAAAAATCGTAATTGCAAATGTCCGTTAAGTTAGCAAATCCGCCATCAAATTTTGTTAAAAGTGAAAGCGCATAATAAAGTACTGCTGTAATGTGGAATTTATTGCTCCGCCCATTTGGTAGAATTTTTCTCCTTTTGTCAAATTTACCAAATTACTTATTGCGTTTCAATTACAACACTAAGCCTACCTATTTAAATTGTAATATATAGATACATATAATCTTACCCAATGAAGAATATTATTGCCTGCATACCTGTAACAAAAACGTATATAAGGTAATTGATATCTAAAATTCAAAAACGCATAATAAGTAAGTATTTGGATATTCACAATATTAGCCCCCGTCCCCCTTTATCAAAATTACGAACTATTTAGGACCTTCTAAATTCACAACTCAAGTATCAAATTTCATAGCTCACTGCTTGATTCCCAACCGATTCGATTTCCCTTTCCAAATTCAATTTTATACATGCAAGCCGCCATCGTATAAAATAAAAAAAATGTACGAGAAAATTTTGGATTCATCCGACAGCCTCAAAACACCGTAATGTAAAATAAAGTAAAAAAAAACGAATATCAAGCTACCTGGTATGCTACTTAAAGATATCTTTTTCTTCAGATTAAATTTTTGTAATGCATAATAAACCATGGCGCATCGTAGCACAATGTTTGATTTTTATCGCTATGCTACTTTTTTCAATTTTCTGGAAAACTATAAGTGTTAAACAAAAATTACGGTATATTATACCCATGATTTTTATTTTCTGAATTTTACTATTAGAAAAGTTCAATAGTAGTTACTTTGTTTAAAATTCATTTGTACTGCGCCTAACCTAATGATGAGTTTAGTCAAGATTCTGTAGACATACAATTAGCTTCACAAGCGATCAAAACGGCGGGAATAACCGGTTAAGGGCCGGGGAACAGGCGATCAGAGAGTCGGTGAGAGGCATTCTCTCAGATAGTGAAGGTGTTTGTAATGTAACGTATAATTAACGTATAAATTCAAGTTACTGCAGTAATCTCCTTCAAACACAGAAACGTTACAAAAAATTTAAAAAAAGTGTCTCACGCAGTGTCTGTGATTTCTATCATAGCCGATTGAAGATGCACTCATCTCGAGGCAATCAAACCACACGCAAACTTTGAGAATTATAAAAGCTACGTACCACTTAAGTATTACGCGAGGTATTACGTGTTAAATTCAATTAATCAATCATAAATGAAAGGAAATTACCTTGCTTTAATGATCAACATCTCGTACATTAGTTTCTTTTCACATTTTCCATCTTAAAACAAATTAATTATTAATCTTTGGCTACCACTTTACTAATACTGCCGTTTGCCGTTTACAAAAAATATCAATTCCTTTAGAAACCGACTAAATAAATATTAGACACGCTGTTAATGCTTTCGTTATGCAATCCAATTTTGTGAAGGCACGATTTACGCTTATAATGAAAATTTATTGGTGTTGGAACCTGTAACAAACACCGCTCCTTTAAAAAAACTAGTTCATATTATGATGCAGAAGGGACTGCAATGCACTCAATCGATGAGGGAATTTCTAAAACCGAGATACTTTCAAATATGAATTCACTATAGCTTTAATCGTGGTGTATCTCACTAACAATGAATTCTACTGCTTAATTATTTAGCTGACCCACGTCAAAGTGAAAATGATAGGATGTCGAAGAGACGCACCCGTCCGTAGGGTCAAAATATCTCGAAAACGGTGTATCGAAAGAGAGTACATACTTACAAATGATACGTGCGGATTCTCAGGCTACTTATACCGTATAGCAGAAACTTGCTGGAAAATGTGGATGCCAAGGTGGATGCTTTAAAACAATACATCGATATTTTTCACCTCGTTTTTCACTATCACTGACAATGAAACTGTGTACCGCTGGGATCCTCCAACACAAAAACCCAAACAGTTGGTGCATAAAGGGTCACCTCCACCAAAAAAGCGAAAAAACAGTGTCCGGTGGAAAAATGGATGGCAATGATTTTCTGTAATCCTGAGAGAACTTTGATTGAGTAGACCTACATGAAACCAGGTGTCAAATTCTTGACAAAATAGCTTCCTAGCTGAAACCAAAAATTGCCAACATATGTACGCACTTACTTAGACGGGAAAAATTTATTCTTTAAAAGTTGCTTAAAATGATCTAAAACGTCGACATTTGATGAAATTTTGAAATGTTCAAAAAACGGCTATCGCAATAGCTACCTAAGCACAGTTATTTTTCTCGTTATTTGTACAACTAGAGAAGAAGACCTCAAGGCTACATGAGGATCCGTAAAATGCACATCCAATGTCGTAGCGGATACCGATAACCTCATCATTTTCAAGAGTTGGCTACACTACATTAGCGTACTGCAATCAACATTATTAGGGAGGTATTGAGGTCAATTCTTTTTGACAATGTCCACAGGTCCGTACAGAAATTTGTAAATATTTGACTTCTGTTACTGTTTGAAGGTCACCAGGGATGTCATCAAGCACCTTGGTAGGTAGCAATAAACTCTATTACAGGTTGATGACCCCTACGCAAGAGATTCATCTCGGCTAGTCCAAGCATTTGTTGTAGATATATGAACCTTTATAATTTTGGGTACACACATCCCCTCTAAAAACGTTGTAACGAACCCTTAAGTTTACGCCCGAGTAAAAGGACCAGTTCAAGCAATGAGTAGTGATGAGAAAATGATGAGTCGACATTTTTGACATTAGGTAGGTAGGCACTTTCCTTTTTGGAGATTCGCGTGTACGTAACCACGTAGCTATTTTAATCATCTACGTCACCGTTTAGCAAATGTACCCAGTCCGCAGACAAAAGAGTAAAAAAAAGTTGATCAAAAGTCATCAAACAGGTGAGGTCACCCGAGATTAAACACCCACCCACATTTTTTGTGGATGATAAAGTTTTTCAAGAGCCCACTTAAAAGGTCGATAATCAAATTATGGCATGGCACTGTTTGAAAAAGGATCGAACCGCGTGAATAATATAAACATGACCTCATCTATCATACGTTATTTACAATATATATTTACGACTAAAAGAGGCGTAATTATGTAACATTTAAAATACCTTGCAAAACTTCCTTGACGTGCGAGGTGGTTGCTGAGATTATTGGCATTGGTGGTGGTGGTGTCGGCGGTAGGGACGTTGTTTACATTTTTATTCACGCAACTGCTACTTTTGTGGTTTCCGTTGATACCACTACATTTGTAATTATTAACATGTTTGAGGTTGCCGTTGTGTTTTACTCTCGCGTTTATAATGCGATTGTTTTTATTGTTATTGATAACGTTGTGCTTAAGGTTGTTGAATTGGCGATGGTTTTTGGAATTTCGCGCCAAAAAATTTGCAGCTGCATTACGCAAACGTGACTTAATACGAGTACTGTTACCGGGGGACGTCATTATAACACTATCCATTTCTCCAATTTGAAATCACACTTACACGAATTTTTGAAATAATTTTGAAAAATCCGCTCAAACAATAGTTTCCAAAAATATGAGGCGCATTTTTGCTCCGGTTCAATGAATAATGCGACAGCGTACGTGGACATTACTCAAAATCCTCGAAAATCTAACGTGCCTCATTTTGTTATTGTTACGAACGTAGTTTCCTACAACACTTAACAAACATGAAACTGAACTACGAAAACATAACTGTAACGCATTACGGAGGACAATTCCAAACAGCTACAAGATATTGTGACGAACAGGAACGAAAATATGCGAATCCCCACCGCATATTTAGACACAACGACACGTTAGTTACGTTCATAAAACAGTCCATTTCAGTGCATTACATCATTCGAAAGTCCAATTTTAGGCCAGCTTTATTTACGTATTCATTTGTAACGTTCTCATTGTTCTTAATTATTTAAAAACTTTGGGCCCATGGGGTATTCTCATCGGCCAAAGTAACAGGTGATAGCTCCAAAGGCTTAACCATTTAACTAGGACTTTTTTTTGGCATATCAACTCTTTGCTTTAGCAACATTACTGCCATAATGCCCGTAATGGAAAAACGGCACCTTTAGGATTTCTATTACACGATCATTTATCAACCAAGCAGTATTCAGAACCAACCATATTATTATGAAATAGTTTCTAGCATTCTTTATAAAACGTTATCAAGACAATAGATAAGTAGATAGAGGTATCTACAATGGTTCCCTTATAATACATTATTATCTATGTACTTCAGGCCAATCTTTTTGAAACAGAAGTTAAGGATTTTTGTAGGAAAAGCTTGCTACCGATGTTAGCTTTGCAAATTGGAAAATGAAAGTGAAAGCGATACGCGGTGATTTTATCAATTATTTATAATAATACTAATAATTAAACCTACAAGAAGCTAATTAAATCATCAATATTCAATTGCAGTTAGTTAGAAAATGTTTCTAATTATACCTACCTACACCAATTTTAAAACGTATCAAAAAGACTGAGGAAGAATTACGTCAATATTCAAATTCCAATAATTAATTAAAAATCTGGTAATTAATACAAAATCACCGATGACTTCACATTTTTTTATGACAGGGATGCACGTTTAGCAATAAAAATGAAAAGATCTCCGATACCTACCATAAAAGTATAAAGTTATCGACATCTTTTACAAATTAATTTCGTTAGATTGAAGTTTCTGACCTTTGACGACCTACACATTAGGTATTCACATAAACTCGTAAAATAGTAGGTATACCTCAATTCAATCAAATACGAACAGTTGAGATCATAAAACACACCTCGCTACTATACTTATAGTGTAATAATGTAGGTTTTTTGCCAATACAACAGGAACAATTTCTTTTTTCTGCAACAGTATCTATTAAAAAATAATATGACATACTTACTGTAAAAGTATTAATTTATTTATATTAATTAATTTTTGGCTTAATTTTTGAGTGGGCGGGGTTTCAGCCAAGGGATTGTCTACCAACCCATTATGCATTTACGCAAATATCCATGCCCGAACCCGGTTTCAAACCAGGGACCCTAAGTATCGCAGTCCAGTTTCAATTGAAATGCGCCACACGTTTGTTCCCGAAAGCGTCGGAAGAGAGCACTCATAAAGGGTAAGTGGAACGTCTGCACGAGACATCTACTGATGATGGCGACGTCAAAACTTTCAATGCAAATATCTGCATAACGGAGTATTGGAGGAGGTACGTTTACACGAGGACATATGTACTGGCATCGTTTAAATTTAAAAAATGGCACTGGCAATGTGAAAACTCATATCTCATGTCGGAGGAAACGTAAGGGAAAATGCAATGTTGCGGAGAATTCGGACTTGATTCTTCTTGCATTGTATATAGCATACATTTTGAATGTGTTCTAGGCGACCTTTAAATGTATGTAAAGATCCCCTACCAAGAAGATAAACATCGATAAATATAATAACCTAACTATTTACCTACTAAGCTATTTTGGTTTAAAAAAATACGCCTTATCTGCACAAGAGATGTACACAACATACTTGTTTGTACTTGTAAAATAAAGAAAGAAAGGATGGTTTCTCGTTTTCAGCAACGATTTCAACAAGGATTTTCATAAAAGTCAAGTTTTATAGGCATTTCAAGTACATGTCCGAATTATCAAATTAGGACTATTGCTAACTGCTATATGGCACTTACGTTATAGATTTTGTTTCATTTTTTCCAAAAACTTAATTGAATGATATAACCAGGGGCGGACTGGGTACCTGCGGGCCAGGTGGAATTGCATAGGTTACGGGCCATTAAAGTATTAGCGTAATAATGATGGTGGCGGGGGGGGGGGGGGGTTAGCTCTGAGGTGCACCACAAACACATTTTAAAGTAGGTACTCCTTTCTCGAAAAGAAATTACCATACAGTTTTTTTTTAATTGCAGCTGATAATTAAAAGTAACAAAATATACAATCCACACGAGGTGCGTCGCCTATCATTGTATTTCAGCACTTTCAAAATACTACGACAAAAAATGATAAATTCATTCTAAAACACTTCAATTAAAACAGAATTTTTTAACAACCTAACATCAACCCCAATTAGAGAAACATGTTAATAATTTATTAATAGTGCAAGAAACTAAATACAGCACATACTTATAAATTTCCAACGGGCCATTATGATCTACAGGCCAGGTGGCAATCGCCACCCGCCCCCCCGGGCCAGTGCGCCCCTGGTTATACACTGCCTTTTTTTGAGCCTCGAAAAAAAATTGTCTCAGATCGACCCGGAAAAAAAATTTTCTTATAGAATGTGGCCTGTAGAATCCATAATTTCAAACAGTTCCAAGATTGGGCTACTAGTCAAAAGTTACAGCCGTTTGAATTTTTTTTCTAAATTGGTTTCTAATCTATAACTTTTGATTGAGAAGTCTGATCGAAAAAGTACGGATTGATTTGGATTCTACGCACCCAAATTAATAAGAAAAAGTGTTTTCCCGAGAAATTTTGGTGTAGTCGATTTTTGGTAAAAAAGGAAGGTTATACACAGGGGCGGACTGGGTACTTACGGGCCATTAAAGTATGAGTGTAGTAATGAAGGTGCCGGGGGGGGGGGCTCTGAGTCTGAGGTGCACCACAAAAACATTTTAAAGTACTCCTTTCTCGAAAATCAATTACCATACAGTTTTTTTTAAATTGCAGCTGATAAATAAAAGTAACAAAATATACAATCCACACGAGGTGCGTCGCCTATCATTGTCTTTCAGCACTTTCATGCTACGACAAAAAATGATAAATTCATTCTAAAACACTTCAATTAAAACAGAATTTTTTAACAACCTAACATCAACCCCAATTAAAGAAACGTTAATAATTTATTAATAGTGCAAGAAACTAAATACAGCACATACTTATAAATTTCCAACGGGCCATTATGACGTACAGGCCAGGTAGCAATCGCCACCCGCCCCCCCGTGCCAGTCCGCCCCTGGATATAACTAGTTTGCATAGAACGAAAAAGTGTAAAAAATAAATTTCAATATCATTTTCTGTTACTTGACATATAAGAAACGTATTCTAATACTGCCAGTTCCGAAATCAGGTAGCCCTAGTTACAATGCAAAACCGAAATACCCGCAGGTACCTAGTTATAGCTTTGATAAAATATGTCATTCTTGCAATTGCCCCCACCGCTAGCTCAAAAATCAAAGTAAAACACTCAGTCCAAGAGTTTCTCGCTAGTACTAAAAAAAACTACAAACCTGCAATATGAGTATAGTGGAGTACTTCTGCATGGTCAAAGTGACCATATTTTTTTTAATAGCAACGCTCATTACACATTATTAAAGAATTCACTTTTTTGGATATAGCAGCATAAAAAGGAAAATAGTGTTGTTAATTAATTTTATAATTTTACTAGTTTGCGTTGAAAAAAACGTTAATATTTTGTTAATTTTGTCGAAGAAGTTTATTGTATCAAAAATTATTAAAAATTTGCGTCAAAGCTACAAACTTTAAGTACCTAAAGTAAAAATTGGCTGCACCTATTTCATTTAAATTTTAAATGACATAAGTAAGAAGTGTCGCTAAAAGATAACGTTACGATAAGTAGTCGATAATAAATCTACTACAATAATTCAATAAAAATACAACCTGCTAATTAAAACAAGTGCGATAAATCACAACGGTAAGAAGCGTCGACATTTATGGTACGAGAAGCATAGTTGGAACTTGGCTTAGAATCAAAAAAAAATACTCCAATAAAAAGAATGTAACTTTAGTCATTGATAAATATAGACATAATCGATGCAATTATTTCATTATTCCTTTTTAGATTCTTTGAATGTCCGGAAGTTTCCAAAATACTTCGCGTATTTCGTCGTTAGAAAATTGCCTGACTCACTATTGGAGTGTTACATATTACAAAACGTTGTCAACCACAAAACTTCAAATGTGTACGATATAACAGAAGATTGTTTCAAGAAAACATATTCGAGGTGTTTAACTTTTGCACGATTTGGATGCTATGAGATGAACATAATTAAATACTTTTTTGAGATTCGTATACTTAATAATGAAAACGAAAACGAAACGAAACATAATTCTATAGTTTCTGAAATGAAAAATTATTTAACATACCTCTTTACAGACTTTACAACGAATTCCGAAAAAAAACTTATGAATAGGCGAATATAACTTTTTATTCGTTCAAAGCGTTAAAGTTAAAAATTTTCTGAAGCATTCGAAGACTTGCCACAATTAGTCCTCTTGAGGTAAAGATAACAGTCTTGGTAGTAGATTCGTCGCAGTGTTGCAGTTCCGGGATTTAGTTATCGATAAAATGATTTGTTTAACTGGAAGGTTATAATTGTTGTATACCTTACACGTATTAATAAGGCCATGCGTTGTCAAAATACCAAATATGGACATAGAAGGTTTATAACTCGCACGACCTGTGCGTAGCAATGTCACATTTAAATGAATTCGGAATCGGAATAGGTAATTTACTAACTACCAAACTTAAAATTATTATTTTTTGTACAAATCTTGACGATATTTAAAGGAAATTTAATTTAATGGAAAGATTAGTAATCAGACGGCATGGGCACAACATATTTGTAAAAGCGGAAGTGATGTAAAGCATAATTGTGTAGATG